AGTGCATACACAGGTAGGTTAAATTCCTTTAATGCAACAGACCAGTGGTTGTTCATGCCGTTTTGTCCCTAAAAATGCTAGAAGCATTATTCCTTCAGGTACCTCATGGTTTGAAAGAACTTTTTTCTTACTAAATACTTATTAAATAATTCAGTTTCCTGTTTTATTCATCAACAATGCATAAGTGCCAATTAGAGTTCCTGGTCAACATGAAATGATCAGGGGTATCATTTTGATTTGATTGTGTTTTGGCAAAGAAATCTGATGAAGTTTTAGAGGGTAAACATGATTTTCATTAGGTTCTTTCAAATACCAAACACAGACCACAGTTCTCTAGTACTGCTCAGATTGATCCCAACGGGCTCAGATTGAGAATAGTTATAAACAAAAATAGAAGAGAAGCCATGAATAGATTTTTGGGTGAAAGGAGATTCTGCCACTAGCCTCATCTCCTTGGTATACTCACTAAATTATCGGGAATTTTTCCAGATTGCACATTACTTTTATATCTCAAACTTCTCCCTCATCTATCAAATGTCAAATAGTAGTCTGTTTTACAACAAACGTTTCATGATCAGTAAGGAGGGAAACAAATACAGTATAACATGGACGTTTTTCTGGTTCTCAAGTGAAGGGAGCCAGAGTATCAGGAGTAGAAAAACTTCTCAGCCATTTCAACTTTTAGAGAAGTAAAAATGAGTGCCTGCATTTGAAGCTCCTCTATTTATTCATTTTCTTATTGAAGGGCATTTAGATTGGACTCAATTTTTCACTTTTACAGACCTCCTCAGTAATCCTTACACACTCATCTTTGTGAATCTGTGCTTTGTGAGATATGTGTATAGGATGCATTTCTGGAAGTGGACTAGCAGGTAGGGAATAGCGAACTTTAGAATCAAGTCTAAGCTCTGCTCACTGACTTTTAAGCAGCACTTGTGTTACGGTGCTATGTCAAAGAGACAGGGTTTCTCAATTGTAAACTGCTTATTGTATCAATAAGGCTTGGACATAGTTCCCATCCTAAATAAAGTGAGAGTCAAAGAGACTTTACTCAAGTCTCGGGTATGTAAGGCATCAGCGAAGGAGCAGGGAAGTGAAAGTGAACAAATGAAAGACAAAGGCGGAGTATGAAGAAGAAAGGTCCACCACAGAGGATGGCTTTGAAAATAACCTGGAAAATCTAAAATCTTCATACCCACAATACACTCACTGTTTTTATCATCTGTAAATCTAAATAACACAGAACATTCTGAAATGCTTTCTCTTAATTATAAATAAAAATAAAGCTGGCATTTTAACTTTTTTTCCAACTTCTTGTTGACTTTTAGATAAAACAGTTGCTTAATGCTTTATAGTTGCACAGCGCTTTAAAATTTAGCACCCATTATCAGCCATACTGAAACCTTTGAACCACCCATGAGGTTAGCAGAAGTATCCTTGTCCCGGTTTTGTACATAAAGAAACAGGCACAGAGAGGGTAATCTTGTCAAGCTGATACAGCTAAGCAATAGTAGAGCCAATATTCCAACATAGCTTTCGCCAACTTGTTAAATACTTGGTGAGGGACTAATAGGTTTCCTCCAACCAGCCTCTCAAGTTCCAAAGTACATCCTTCCTACTGCAAGTAATTTGGGCTGAAATGTTAGGCTGGAAAGTGTAAATACAAAGCACACAAGTTGCTGGCATGGCAACTGAGCTGCCACATTTGCTTATAATTTCCACTGTTCTTTAGGTGGGTTATGGCTATTCACTGAACAGTGACAAAATGGCAAAAGGAAGGCATATTAACATGATCAAGGAAGGCATATGATCAGGTATTCCACTGTGATGGAGCTTAAAAGAACAGGTGGTAACATCTGTGCCCGTATTCTCATGAGTTCTACTCAAAATGTGGTCTGGTAACAAAAAGATGATCATAGAAACAAAGCATTCAGAAATTTTTATATTTATAGCCATTTTATGTCTAGTATAATAAAAGGGGGACTTTTATTTTGTATCTTTAAAAAGTTTTTCTAGTAATACATTTTTATCATCTTTTACCAAAGTACCAATTTGCAATGGATGGAATTTTTTTTTTTTTAAATCTAGTCTTTTGGTGGAAGTTTGAGATTCACTGTACTAGTGTGAGCTTTTCAAAATCACATAAAGACTCCTCATGTGAGTAGAACTGTTCAGATTAGCTTGGTAAAATTAGCTAAGGCAACTTTTGTGGGCCACCACAACTTATAATGCACTACAGGTTTTTAAAATAATTAACTGCAGATTCATCCCAATTCTTTCAATTTCCATGGATAGAATGATGCAGTACCTTGATCAGAAGGGGAAAAGTAAGCAAAAACACAAAGGTGTTATGGTATTTTATGGCTTACAAGCTCCATTTTACTTTTTAAACCAAAAAGATAGGAAATACAAAGGAATCTTAAGTTACTTCACAGTCATGTTATGAACTATTAAAAGGGTATCTTTTTTAAAATTAAAGTTTATCGGGGGTGACAATGGTTAGTAGTTACATAGGTTTCAGGTGTACAATTCTGTAATACATCATCTATATGTCACATTGTGTGTTCACCACCCAGAGTCAGTTCTCTTTCCATCACCATATATTTGATCCCAGTTTACCCTCATCTACCACACCCCTCCCCCCTTACCCTCTGGTAACCACTAAAGTATTGTCTATGTCTGAGTTTTTGTTTGTCTTGTTCCTTTGTTGTTTTCAGATTAATATCCCACATATCAGTGAAATCATGTTTCTCGACTTTTTCTGTCTCATTTATTTTGCTTAGCATAATAATCTCAAGATCCTTCCATATTGTAGCAAATGGCACTATTTCATCTTTTCTTATGACAGAATATTCCATTGTGTACATGAGGTCTGACAATTAAATTTGCGAACTCATCCTAGAAAAAGTGCTACATACCTCACTGCTGAATATCACTACAGTCACCTTCGAAATACTCCCCTTGGGAAACTATGCACTGACGTGCGTCGAGTCCACCCTTCAAAGCAATTTTGGAACTCTTTCTGGAATGGCCATCAGAGCTGTCATCTTATTACCCTCGATGTCCTGAATGTCATCAAAATGTCTTACTTTCAATATTTCCTTTATCTTCAGGTAAAGAAAGAAGGCATTAGGGCCCAAATCAGGTAAGGAGGGTGTTCCTATACAGTTATTTGTTTACTGGCTAAAAATTCCCTCACAGACAGTGCCGTGTGAGCTGGTGCATTGTTATGATGCAAGAACCATGAATTGTTGGCAAAAAGTTCAGGTCATCTAACTTTTTCATGCAAGCTTTTCAGCACTTCCAAATAGCAAACTTGGTTAACTGTTTGTCCAGTTGGTACAAATTCATAATGAATAATCCCTCTGATATTACAAAAGGTTAGCAACATTGTTGCAACAAGCTCGGGAACTTAATTGTCAGATCTCGTATATACCACATCTCCTTTATCCAATCATCTAAGGACATTTTGGTTGTTTCCAAGTCTTGGCCACTGTTAAACAAAGCTGCAGTGAACACCGGAGCACACATATCTTTATGGATAACTGTTTTCAGAGTTTTTGGGTAGATACCCAGGAGAGGGATTGCTGGGTCATATGGTAATCCTATTCTTAATCTTTAGAGCAACCTCCACACTGCCTTCCATAGTGGCTGCACCAATCTGCATTCCCACCAACAGTGTATGAGGGTTCCTTTTTCTCCATAGCCTCATCACTTATCATCAGAGAAATGCAAATAAAAACCACAATGAGATATCACCTCACACCAGTTGAAATGGCTATCATCAAGACAATAATAAAAGGGTATCTTTTAAAAATTGAAAGCATTACTCATAAGGAAACCACTAGCTATACATTATTTATAGTGGTACCAAAAAGGCCCATAAGCCTAAATCTCTTCTTAACAGAAGTTCCTCAGGCATTTTTGGATTGGGGCACTATTTCCAAGAAATGCAAATATGTTATTTGCAAAATGTAACCCATTAGTGAAAAAAGCAGAGCTGATAGGAGACTTAAATTGGAAGAAGCAATCGGGCCACTGGATGGAGGCTGGAGAAGGCCAGAGGTAGAAGCATGCGCTAAGTGTCACAGGGGAGTGAGGTTGGTCATTCAAGTGGGAGGACAGAACAAAAGGAGACCTGAGGAAACCCCAAAGATACAATCTGCCTCCTTCTTCTGTACCTTCAGCTGGTGCTTTCTGTGGAAGTTTCCAAGTACCTGTTTCAATTAGAGCCAGGCATTCATAAAGGCAACTGCAGGCAGAGGTATTTTATTCAGAAGACAAGAGTGGGTTTTAACAGCTTTGGTAGGGAAGGGAGGATAGGCTCCTATGGTTGGCATGTACTTTGTTCCACTTCAGGGAATGGGTCTGCTTCTCTCAGTGGGAAGAATTCCTGTATGAAAGCTGGGTCATAAGAGTGTTTAAATATTCTTAAGAAATCTTTTAAAACAAATTGTGGACTGAGACAAGTTGATGAAAGACACAATTCATATAGGTTGTTAAGAATTCAGAAAGGGGCTGGCTGAGTGGCACGTTGGTTAAGAGCTGGCTTGGGACGCCAGCTCTGAGCAGCAGGGCCCCGGTTCGGATCCCACATGAGGGCCAGTGACACTGCCCTCTACAGCTCAGATAGTGAACAACAGCTCGACTTGGAGCTGTGCTGCCGTGAGTTGCCGGCGACGGTGGAGGCTGCAGCCCCTGCTGCAGTGGGCTGCCATAGCTACGGTGTGTGGCTAGCAGCCAACGTGAGCGGCCGGCAGCTGGTGTGAGCTGCCAAGAGCCGCTGTGAGTGGCCGTCCAGAGGCCGGCGACTGATCTGCCTCACCCGGGAAGAGCGCAATGGTAAGACCAACATGGGCCAGTGAAGCAACGTCCTCCACAACTAACTGAAGAACAAAAGGAACAGCAACTTGTCTGTTCCCCTTCCCCCGATTTCCCAGTGCTGTTCCCCTCCCCCAATTCCCCAATAAAATCTTAAAAAAAAAAATTCAGAAAGTATCTGAAATTTTTAACCATGTTTTATTTGATGGCAACATCAAAGGCATATTTTAAAAAGCATGTTCAAACCCGTACAAGTTAACTGCATAAAAAAATTATTTTACATTTCCCCATACTGTATACCCTATAACTGTACATAAATTTCTACATTTCAAAGCATTTGTCACTTATAAAGTGAAGGTTCCAAAATGTTAGGTAAATGTTTGCTAATTGATGCTTTTTAAAAAACAGTACTGCTTTGGAAGATTTCTCTTCCTTTTGCTTATAGTTGATCTGCAAATACCTCAAGTCAAAGTTTCTGGAAACTTTCCTAGGGAAAAAAAACCTGGAAACTCTTCTGGAAAAAAATCACAATAGACAAGGACTAAGTGCAGACATAAGTAGCTCCATTTTATAAACAAAGTTTCGACCTTCCATTTTATTCCACTGAACTTCTTTGAATGGTCCACGAAGATGATTCCATTTGTTATCTTGTAAAACATCACTTTTTGCAAGGTCTTTACACTGGTTTCGCGGAAACTGAACCATAATTTTGCTGCCACTTTCAGGGCCATTACGAACTGTGGAGCAAAACCCAAAACATCAACACACTCATTCTCCAGACTAGAAAACAACTTCATTCTACCATGATTACAAAAACTTAGTCTGTCTACTTACTTGAAAGTTGTGTTTAAAAGTGCTTTTCAGTTTCAATATGTTAGAAAATAATTTACTAATTCATATAGGCTCGTATATTCATGAATTACTATTTGTACTATAAAAATGGGGCAAGATAGAATTTTGGCTTAGGAAAGTCCAATGTCCTATGTTTTTTCAGAAAATCCCCAATTAATTTTTTCTAAAACTCTATTTAATAATCCAAACATCCAGTGAGTTGGTTAATATACACCTAACATATAATGAAACTCAAATGTTCAGAATCAGGACAGTGAGGAATAAAGGGAAGATTCTTCCGAATTAAGAACTTCAGGTTTTAATAAGGTTTTAACTATAACTCAGGGAAGAAGAACAAGATATTTTCAAATTCTTATCAATAAAGATCTAGCAATACCAAGCTTGAAGAGTCACAAGCAGTGATCCTATGGGGAAAAATGTCTAATTACCCACTTTCAAATATTTAGGACGGGTATTAGAAAAGATCACTCTAAAACCATAATCACTCTGAATATAATTTTCAACTAGGTAATTTGTGTAAGTGCCTATTAAAGTGCGGACTCATGGTAGGTGCTTAATGGAACACCTCTCTCCTCTCTGATCCCTTCCTTTACCATCTTTAGCATCAGATAATCACTCTTCCCATATTTGCAGCAGTCCATTTTTAAAAAGTTTTTCTCCATAAAAGGTTTTGAGCTGCAGGATGACAATCTGATGGCAGCTTTCAGATGCTCTCCTAGGAAACTGTGTTGCCAAGCAAAACATTTTTTACAGCTACTAGAGAGAGAAGTAATAATCTGTTGCTATGAATAGTGTGGTCAAATAAACGCTCAGCACTCCCACTACGTGAACTCACTTATTGCAGAGATAAACTCCTCTTAAGGATATGTAACTATAAAAGCTAACGTTAAGGCCAAAGAAGCAAAAGTACCTGAAATAGCATAGTCACCACTGGGGGAGGCCACTGTTATAGCGGAGGCATTGCCAATGCTTTCTATGGGACCAAGTCCCACGTGATTACTGAAGCTCAGTACTTGCCAGCCCATGACCTTGGCTAGCTGCTGAACTGCATGTACCTGATGCTGTGACATCTGCAAACGAAAAAGGAAACTTTATTGACAATTAGCATATATTTACTTTGCAGTGACCTGACATTATGACTAACCTTTTGGTGGGTTTTCACTGCCTAGCACAGGAACCCTATCCTATGTATGAGGAATTCTCTCCTCTGTGTGACCCTTGGGGGCAGAGAGTAGGACCCCAACTTCCCCTGCAGAAGCTAATATAGCCTGATACTCGCTTTCTTTGCCCACTGGCAGCTTGAGCACAGGAACATGACTTAAACTTGGCCAACTGGAGATTCCCATCTGGATCCTAAATGTAGAGCAACATTCAGAGGAGCAGGGCGAGCAGAGTATCTTCCATTTACCCCCTTCAAATCTGCTCCCCACCCTCCTCTGCCCCAGGAGCCTGACCGGCATGGTTACATTAACAGCTTTCTATGTCCTCTGGTTTCAGGCTGGTGGGATGGAGCTGGTGGATGGCGAGAGAGTGTGGTCAGGGCACTTATTCCCTGGGACCTTCCCTGTGAGGGTGTCTAGGCGGGTTGTATCCAGTGAAGGAGGCTGCTGGACTTTTCAAGGTGGTCTGTTCTACCTGACTCTCCCACGTAGGGCTCCTCGTACCTGTTCCTCCTCTGTCCCTCCGGCTTTAGATTAAGCCCCATGGGTTTGGTTATGTGGTTACTACCAGCAGCAGGTTCCCACACTTTCCCTGGTGGTTCTCTGACATCCACACTTGTAAACAGAGCCTCCTAAGTGTGCCACCTGTTTTCGGTAAGACCCTGACTGGTACATAGGGGCCACTTAAGAGTACCACCAACGGTGAAGGCAGTGCGGTCAGGATGGCAACAGTGGCACTCTCCGGCCGTGGTCCTCACCAGCTAGCTTCCTTGGATCCCTACCCATTTGTAAGCCTTGTTGTCTAGACTTCCCCCTGATTCTGAGAGCTACCCAACAGCCTTCCAATACATTTCTGGGCATGTGTGCTTAAGTTGGCCAAAGCCATTTTAGATGCAATCAACCAAGAGCGGCCATACCTCACAAATGCATTTTATTTACTTGGCACCAAAGAAGCAAGTCAGTGTAAAAGACTATTGCTTCTAGGATGGAGAGTGTCAGTATATTTAAATTTTATATGAAAACAGTATCTCACGTTAGTATCTCAAAATCTACCCTTTCTCCCCTAAGTCAATATTTCACTGGATCATCGTAACTCCATGAAGAAGGTAGGAAAAATACTGTTGTTACTTTACAGTTGAAGAAAGAAAAGTCCAGAAATTTGTCCCAGTGTCATAGAGCAAGTTTGTGGTGGGGCTGGGACTAGAACCCAGCACTTTCCATACCGCCCCTTAATATGAGGAACTCTTTCATAGGGTTTAAGACTAAAATATTCCATTTAATATCACGGATAATGGTCACCACTATAGTTTTATACCTAATCTACCTTTCTCTGGTTTCTTGGGTTAATACTTCTCTGCTATCATGTGGTCCTGGAGTGCTTGTAAACCTTGGCAAACATGAGAAATAAGAAGTTTGCTAGTCTCACAACTGGTTCTTTATTCTAAACATGAACTAAGTGGAAACAAATCTAGGATAGTTTATCAACACTTTCAACTAACTTAGAGGTTGTAAAATGTGCAGTAGACATTAAGTAAGATGGCAGGAAGAAATGGTTTTCTTTTTATAATTTACTCCTTACCCACTTTGGTCTGTAAATGGTTATGAGAGGAAGGGGCTTGAGACTTGTAGTTGCAACTGTTACCTGGGACAGAAGGAAATCCTGCAGCTCCTGCTCCTGATGAGAGAGTGTAATTACTCTTCCATCTCTGTGTACCACTCGGATCTGCTCAACTCCAATATTCAATTGCAGCTGAATGGACCTTTATAGATACAGATACTAAAAATCAGAAATGTTCCAAATTATCTTATACAAAGCCACAGACATTAAACCTTAACATCAAAGAAAAAGATAATAACAGACAGTTTTGATAACCTACACCAACACCAACGGGGTGTGGGGTCTTCTCAGGTTCAACTATACCACCAGATTCACACCAAACACCACAGGGCACCCCGAGGGCCAACATCAGCTGCTCCTCCTCTTTGGCAGTCCAAGCGGCAAGACATGCAGCTGTCAGCACAGCAGTGAGAGGAGAGCCACACTGCGTGCGTGTGTGTGGAGACTTGCCCTGACTTACACACCTCATTCCTACAGGAGCCACACGTTCTTGTAACAACTCCGCAGACATGGTTTCCAAGGTCCCCATAAAAGACACTACCCAGTTTGAGAAGTTACCCCAAAAGCATCCAAAGGAATCCCCATCAGGTATTTACAATTTCTCACAATCCAGATCCATTTTAATAATTTGGGATTATTTTTGCCATAAGCAATGTTGCCTAGTAACATAGACGGCATCTTTTCTTATCAGGTTACTTAGGGGCCTAGAGCTAGAGAATTAACCAAAGGTCACATTCTCATACAGAAAGGGAAAGGGTTTAGTTAACTTCACCTTCTCCTGAAATAATCAGCAAACAAGTCAGATTATGGACACCCTATTAACTTGGTTTAGGTCAAACAAAGCAACTCATAAAATAGCCAATGAATAACACGCAGATCACAACACTTCCAAACCAACGTACAAATTATAGCATATGACATGTATAAGAAACACTAGGTTCCCCAAGTCACATAATCTAGATGAACACATGCAGAAAAAATAGCACTATATCTTTTCACATTTGATAGTACCTCTTTTTTAAGCTTTATTTTATAGTAAATATTTAACAATAAACCATTTTGGCAACTGTCTACATAAAATTGTAATACTGATTAAAGTTTATGTATTTCTTTCAAAGAAAAATACAAACTTCAGAAGGCTTAAAAGCAAAAACTTATAAATCTAACCAAATTCTTCAAAGTCGTTTTTTTTTTTTAAAACAAAGGTGTCAGGAAAGAGGAATTCTTATCATTATTGGTAGGAGCATACTCGGGGCAATCACTTTAAAAAGCAATTTGGTAACATTAATTAAACTTTTAAATGTCCTCATTTTTTGACCCAGCAATTACTCTTGTAGACTTTTCCTATGGATGTGCTTGCACAGGTACAAGTTATTTTGCTGGCATCCAACTACAATATTCATCAATAAATGACTAATTAAAAGTCTTGGTACATACAACAGAACACAATAAAGCTGTAAAGAAGGATGAAGTAGGTGTGTACGTGCTGATAAGGAATGCTTCTTCACCAATATAATACCACCGAGTAAACAAGGCAAACTAAATGAGAATGACTGCTAATAGGTATAGGGTTTCTTTTCGGGGTGATGGAAATGTTCTGGAAGTAGAGAGCGGTGATAGTTGTAGAATAGAGAGAATATACTTAAAACCACTGAACGGTAGACTTTAAAATGGTGAATTTTATGTTACATGAATTATCTCTCAATTTTTAAAAAGCATATAATATTGTGTGAAAGAGGCAGGGTGTAGGCAGGCTATATATGCTTGTAATGCATAGACTTTCCTAGAGGATATGTAAGAAACTGTTTGAAATACTTGCTTCTGGGGAGTTCCAAGAAAGAGAATTACCTTCAACTTTAAATAGCATAAGATGATACCAGCTATAAAAGATGAGGAAAGGGCATTCTACTACTTCCTTCTACTTCCTCTCCCCGCTCCTGAGCCTGTCGAGGCTGCAGTACCACTAGCCTTTCTTACAGATGTTTAGAACGTTTACACTGGGTCATGTAACCACAATCCCACAGCTATTTGGTCTTAGTTCTAGAGTTAAACAATTCAGTGCTGATAATTTTTTCTTTTCCTCTCCTTTGCGCTCACTCTGTCTCTTTTTATTATGGAAAATTTTAAACACAAAAATACAGTATAATTTAATGAAAGCCAATGGCTCCATCACCCAGCCTTAATAATAGTTAAAAACGCACACCAAACTTGTTTCATCTGTATTCAACACCTGCTCTCCCACCCACTCCCAAGTCACGCCAATTATTTCCTTAGGTGTAAGAGAAGGAAGCCATGACCCAGCTTCACTCCACTACCCTTTCCTAAAAGTTTCAAGACTGAATTCCTTTCCATTGTATACTCTTTTATCTTCTATATTTGATCTTTTAAATTATGCTCATCTACTATTTTTTATTTTAAAAAATAATGAATTATAACCTTCATAATAAAAAATAGCATTATAAATAAATACATTATACTCCCCTACTCCTGAGTGTGATGACTTTCTTTCAAGGGGTGTTTTGCTTACTGGAGAGACCACTATAGCTAGTTAGGTCTAAGGAGGTCTGGTAGTTTTCTGCTCAATGCCAAGGTTCATTTTTAACCACAGTTCAAATATGTGACATTTACCTCATAGAAACTATATTATTCCTATTTTGCACTCTTATAAATACTCTATGGTTGATATAATTTACAAGAATGTTAGGTCACCCTAGCAAATAAAAACCAAAATCTTGATATAATCATTCAGCCAACATCAATACATAAAAAGCAACTTAGCACATTAAATGAATAACTTATTTTTGACACTTACTTGCATATTTGTTCATAACCTTGTGATGTGATTAAAACTTTCACACTAGATTCATAAACATCATTAATATTTGACCAGTGAGCCTGGATCTGAGGATCCTCAATGCGACTTGCTAAGCTGTCAATGGTTGCAGCAGTTCTTTTAAAGAAAAGAAGTAAACAATTTTTAAAAGTCACCATATAAAATAATAAGATTACAAATCATTTATCAATTTTGTGGAGATTTGAAAACCAGATGACTACTTTTCAAAAAGAGCATCATTTGAAAAGCAAGACTCTAAAGCAAGGTCAGCTGTAGTTGAGGCCCTCCTTCACACTGCTTTGATGTGCTGGTTCTCAGCTTCACATTATAACACACTCGCACGCACAGGCTGATTTCCCTGTAACTCCACTTGTTTTCTCCCACTCAGGAAATCTTACCAGAACACAGTAGAAGGATACTTCCAGGGTAACCTCAGCTCTAAAGGAAATCATTTGTAAATATCAATACTTGGTCCCCGGTAACAAATGACTTGGGACACACCCACACCTGAGACCTATCACTGTAATGGAATTGTAATTATTTCCAAAGGAAGCTAGAGAGACTTTCTGCACAATTAAAACCTTAACTCCAAGAAAGATAAATATGATAAGTATAAATGACAATGAAACTAAGATTTATCATGTGCTAATTATGTAATAAGTGCTTTCAGGAATTATATAATTTAACATTACAAACAACCCTGTGAATTAGGTACTATTATTAGCTCCATCTTTCAAAAGAGAAAAAAGCAGTGTAGCAACGTTAAGCAATTTGCCCAAGGTTACAGAACTGTGAGCCATGGTACAAACCTGCGAGTCTAACTCCACAGTGAGTAATCTTTCCTTTGTATCTTATTCACGCTAATCAATAGCCACTACCTAGAACCAAAGCATAAGTCATGAAGGTTAACCAAACTACTGGAGGTCCGCAGTTTCTAATGATCTGATTCTAGCACTTGACTGAAAAGAGAAGGAAAAAGTGGGAGGAATCAGGAAATGAGAACAGCCATCGAGGACAAGGGGCTTTTACATAAACAGGCTTGGGGTTTGCTCTTTTACTACTTCTGCTCTACCACTGGTTTCTTGCAGTCCCTCCTTAACTTTGTCTTCTTTTTCTGATTCGTTTCCTTGACAGTGTTTCAAAAATTCCTATAGCTGATAAATATGTATATGAGAGTGTTCATCTCAATATTATATGTAGGAACAAACTGGAAATAAAAGATACCTAGCAACGGAGAAATGGTAAAAGAAATCATGGAATATTCATTTAATAGGATATATTAAAATATTCTTGAAGGCAGGGTATAAAATTTTATGATCCCAGATTTGTTTAAAAAAAAAAAAAGATACACAAGCCCTGACACATATATATCAAAATACATGAGCACGTTAATAGATCTTGCTATGTATGGTTTACAGATGGGATTGATATACTGGAAGATTATTTCTATACGTAGGAGGGAAAAAAAGGGAACATTTTTAAAGCTTTGCTGCTTCCAAGACTATAATTACTACTCTGAAATGTATAATGGTTCTACAGATAGCTATTTCCATGCCCTTCATTTATTTGGGGGAATATTTAACTTTATGGTCAGTCAGAAATTTGCAAGATTAACAATATACTCGAATTAGCAGCTTTTATAATTGAAATGTACAAATGAAAAGTAACAGGATCTACCATATAATATTTTGTTTGTAAGGAACTTCTGCATACATTATTTAACTTGATCCTAAGACCAGACTCCTATACCCCCAGAGGAATAGACTGAGGGCTGTAGGTATTATTAAGCAACTTGCCGAAAGTTACTTAGCAAGTTGTTAAGCCCTGACTTAAATAAACCTTTTACCTGAAATTCCTCACTCCTTTCACTGAATCATGCTGCCTCCCCCAACATGTCTTTCTAATTCATTTTACTAAAAGTAGAAGGATCTAAGTTTCCATTCTAAGATTACAAACTAATGTGCTAATAAAACCATGATTATACATACAGGAAAAAAACTGAAAATAAAAAAAATAATATAGCCATAAAATAACAGTGTGCCCACGTCTGAAGTTCTGAATACTATCAAGGCACAATTATGAATGAAGTAAAAACAGACTTCTTCACTAAGTACCAATAACAAAATTGAAGAGCACCCTTTAGCATTTGAAAAAGATACATTTAGATCCAGCCATGCCAAGTTCCTTTGTAAACAATGTGTATGGAAGAAAATGAGCTTTGTAGTTACACAGAATTGGGCATAAATCCTGACTTTGCCACTTTTTAACTGTGTAACCTTGAGCAAGTTACATAATTTCTCTAAGCCTCAATCTTCTCATCAGTAAAAATGGGTTAAGATTAAATATAAGTCAACATGCAGGAAAGTGGTTTCCAAAGTACTAAAATGTGACAACCAAAAAATACAGAAAGCTTCAGGAAAAAAAAAAAAAAGACTTAAATCAGTTCAGGAATAAGTATATCAAGGATGGGCTGCTGCAGAAAGTATGGTGTTCTAAGGTACATTCCTAGTCAGTCGCCTTTCAAAAGTTTAGTGCTATTTAGAAATAATGCATTATGTAACTTGAGCCATAGATCTGAGTCTTCCCCAAACGTGACAGGACCATCTACCGTCATAAACTCGTACACTGCAGCCACCTTCCTTTCCCCCTAGGAAAAAAGGTTAAAACATTCCAAAAATAATGTATATGAGATAACTAATAAAGGAGAAAGGACTGCAGTTTCAAAGAAAAAGAGTAACTCTGTTCATTCTTACCTACTCCTCAGAAAAATATGCTTTGCTTGTTTAATTATTTTTTCCAGAAGCCCTTCACTGGACTGTAATGAATTAATTTCATTTTTATCAAAAGCTTGAGGACCTGAAAGTCGTATTCTCTTGTGGCCGAAAGGTGCACTTGCTGGATGAGGCATCGTGATGGAACTCAAGGTCTGTTTATGGAACTGTAACAAGAACAGCCATTACGAATGTCCAGCACCTGCATATGTACATAATGTTCAAAGCACAGTTTGGACACATGAAAGCCATGGATCTGAACCACATATAAAAGCAGTCTTGGAAAATAGATGAATGTTAACATCTACTAGGCCATGCATAATGTGAATTTGTAAAAAGAAGGGTCCCTCTCAAGCTGTCATTATTTTAAAAGCTTTAAAGTACAGAAACAAACACTACCCTTTAGTAAGTCTCATCGACAAAACACTTACAGTCAGCAGACAGCTATTCCACTCCACCCTAGATGAATGGTTCCCAAACCAACCTGGCTGCCTAACGGAACCACCCGAGTAATTGTAAAAGAATACTGATTCTTGTACCATCAAAAACACCTAACCAGATTTTTGGGGTGAGGCCGGGAAGGCTAGAATATATACTCCAATTCAAAGTTTCTCAGGGGAATTCTTTTGAAATTAGCCTAAACTGTCAACCAGCACTCAGGAAAAACAGTTCTAGATGACCTTAAAGTAGATTATGTCCCAAAGAGCTCAACTATCCTGTTACAGGCTCTGGACAAACGTTTTCCCTGATAACCCAATCAGACTCACTTCCCTCTGTGCCCTTTGGCATGTGTTTCTTATACCTCTCTGTAAAATTTGTGGTATATTTCCACCCCTGGAAGCTATGCTAGGAAACAGAGACTGCGTTCCGATCATCTCTGTATTCCCCGAGCATGTAGCAAGGATCTTTCACATCGCAGAGCGTGAATGTCGTTGCAATGTGAATGATGAGGACTCAGCAGAGGGGAGTTTGTGTGTATGCATCTTCACTGCCCTGGATATGCTTTACCACAGTGCAAACAAAAATATTTATTTCATTACCTCTCTAATCAGTAGATGCAAATTATGCTCTAAGACATAAAGGTGGTCCTCCGGACTTTGCTTCTCAGTAGCAGATTTTTGGGATTTCTTATCATTTGAGGAATGGCACAAAGAAATAGATAATTGCAAGCCTATTTATAAAAAGAAGTAGGAAAGATATAAGTAACCTAAAATATAAAAAGCCACAACTGTTCTTTATATATAATCACAGAATTCAAAAGATGCATTCTAACTTGAAGAGGAGGCTTCCTGAGAAACATATTTACACCAAAATGCTATTCATGAATGCAGTAAACTACCACGTATTTTAACAATTCAAATTCTGTTGACCTACAATATGGCTGCTGATCTTGAGCTGTGGCTAAAGATAGGTGAATAGAAGCTATCTATTAATTTGTTTCTTTCTGACTTTAATAAAAAAAATGCCCTTACACACATGCACGTACGCGCGCGCGCGCGCACACACACACACACACACACACACACACACACACACACAGTTGGTATCTGGTCTTACTAACTAGCTGATACTCTCCCCTGCTTCCAAGTGAACCAGGATGAAATTTATCATTCCCAAAACCCATTACCTCAACCAGATCTAAGAAGATACTCCTTAGAATTTATGTAAAAAACAAATGCACAGCTAATCTCAAACTGATCTCCAGTCTAACTGCTTTTAAATAATATAATTAAAACTTAATTTCCACCAACTTAGTAATATTATGGGTACTTAATGAATTAAGCCTTTTCTGATTAACATCTCATTTAGACAGTAAGGCAGGATCCCTAAAACATCTTCCACAAATGGTGTCAGCATAGACACCTCAAAGCCATGATGCTGAATAATGGCCTTGCAAATGCCAATTTTTAATACGGACTGTTTAGAATCCAGGAGTTACACTATTTAGGACACAAAATAGAGTTGGCAGTGTAGTTACCAGCTGCCACTATGACTATGGACAGCACACTACCCCTTTGATCTTACTGTTCCTTCAATACACCCTAATAACTACTCACTTTGTCCTGTTCTCCAAACCACAGAGTCCTACTTATAAATTTCAAAATGGTTGGTTGCTCTTACTTGGAAAGGGCTGAGAGATAATCTGGTTTTTCACCACAATGTGAGGAATCTGTGATTTAATTTGAACAGCTTCCCGAGAGAGCTGTGCAAAAATCTCTTTACACAAGAGAACATTTTGTGCTGCTTCTAATTTCGTCTGCCAATGTGGGGAACCTAAAAGACAGGAGACATATGTATATATTAATTATCGAACTACATTATGTGTTAACTAGCTTAAATGGTGATGTGAATACATACAACAGAAGTTCAGAAAACATTATGTTACAGCATATCCTTTCCAAAATATAAACATTATTTCTTTTACACAAAGAAAACTGGGAAATAAGTTCAATCTTTAAAAAAAGGATTGCACAGGGGCTGGCCGAGTGGTGTGCTGGTTAGGAGTTGGCTTGGGACGCCAGCTCTGAGCAGCAGGGCCCTGGTTTGGATCCCACATGAGGGCCAGTGACACTGCCCTCTACAGCTAAGATGATGAACAACAGCTCGACCTGGAGCTGGGCTGCCATGAGTCGCCGTCGATGGCGTAGGCTGCAGTGGGACTGGCTGGCAGCAGGCCTGAGCTTTCGTGAGCTGCCCTGAGCCGCCGTCCAATGGCCTGGTGAGCGACTGCCTCACCTGGGGTGACTGCAATGATAATACCAACATGGGCCAGTGAAGCGACGTCCTCCACAACTAGACTGCAGAACAAAAGGCCAGCAACTAGTCTGTTCCCCTTCCCCGATTCCCCAACGTTATTCCTCTACCCCAATTCCCCAATAAAATCTTAAAAAAAAAAAAAAAAAGATTGCAACTATTCACTAATGGTTAATTAACAAATTGTAAGTTGTACATTTTCAATTGTTCTTACTCCAAAGTACAGATTTTTCCTATTTATCTTCAGTTTATTTGTACATGTAAGCTCAGATAAGACTAGAAGTTAGAGGATAGAACATAACTATACCTGGTTTGGATTTGGGCAAAGGTCGTTTGAAGAGGTTAACTGTGCCGAGATCACCTATGTCTGGAGCCTGTTTTTGAATTGAAACCTATGTGACAATAAAAACACAAAAATGTTAGCAAATTAGCTTCTGGGCTATTAATAAAAAAATGATCTGAAAAATACTCTGACAAATACCTTGATATATGCAGATCCCTCTAAATCACTAGGGATTTGAACATCAAGAGGACAGTAATCTTCAGGTATTTTCTTATCCAGATCAATATCTGTATTCTTTATTACTTCAAAGGTACCATGATGGGGAAAGAGAGATCCTAATAGGGTATTAAAAATAGGAAAATTAAAAGGTTAACATATTTAACATACATCATTAAGTAATATTTCACATCCACATCACTGAATCCTAAATTAAGTTCCCACCAAAATGTGTGTTTTGGGGGGGGGGAAAGGAAGGAACGGTAAGCCAAGGGAAAAAGGGAAGCAGAAGAGTTATTTACCTTAGAAAAATAACACTCCTTAATCTAACGGCATCATTATCATACAAACTCCAGGAGCCATACAAATTGTTTTATTCCAATGGAGTTTTGATAAAATCAATGTACTTCTAGAAAATACTTCTCAGGTTTAAACCATGGAGATTAAATACTTCTGGAGCTCAGCCTCTATAATAAGGTGGCAACTGAAGTGTCTGAATCCAGCAAGAAGACAAAAGGACAGTGCACAAAAGGCCCACTTTTTTTCAACCAGTTCCTAGATTTATATGTGATGTCTGTTTGTTCAGTTTAAAAATTTGGGTAAGGTGTTCTGGCTGCTAGATTATGTGAGGAGTGAGTGGTTAAATGTTAAGTGCTGTTTTATAACAAGGGAAGATATTTAAGATCTTCTGGCAATTAAAAACAGAATGTAATCAAATCCTTTTATAATCATGGGTGACTGTTCCATAGAGAGAAATGAAGTAAAGTACTTGTGCATAACTATTTGTTGGGAAGACTTACAATGTCCAGAGCCAGAAAGTACTGCTTCTAGAGACCACTTTATACAATGTAAAAATGTCTCTGTCATCTTGAATTCATCTTTGTGATGGGATTTTACCTTCAGAATTCACAATTTCCCAATTCACATCAATGCTGAGGCACGTAGGTCCTCCAGTGTTGGACTTAACCACTTCAATTACTTTCCTTTAATTTTAGGATAACGATGGCTTGCTCTGGCAAATGAGCCTTTTAAAATATCAGTCCACTACTGTTATCTCAATGATCACAGCCAGGGCTCCTTGCTTTATGCCTTCGCCTTCAGAACCTTTACCCCATTGAGCTGTGACTCTCATAAACTTTTACTGTGTAGTTCCCCCTGAACACTCTTCAGCAGCTTAAAGAGATTACCATGATTACCTTGAGAAAGGTGGTATTATGGCTCAACAACAAAGTATTTATATCAAAAGATGGGAATTCAGGATCAGCAAACTTTGGTACACTTCAACAAAATATATTTCTGAAGTTACTGCCATAGCCCTGGTTGAACGGGAAAAGGTAGGCTAAGTGTTTTCACTGTCCCCTTCCTTCACCCAGCATGTGACAACAGTGTAGCAGACTAACGAGAGAAAAAAACAACAAGGAAGAAATGTTTCTTTTCTCCTTTTATGCCCGATTTCTGATGGTTACAGGTGAGCCCCTGATGGAGGAGTCCGGTCCTACCTTCTCACTTCTGACTAAAATGCCAATTCTAGTTAAGGGTGTGTTAGCACATAAGCCCTATCTCTTAACTTTCAATTAAATGTAACTAAAAGGTTTTCAAAGTGAATCTAAACTATTTATATATATTTACATAAGGGTATAAGAGTAATTTTAGCTTCTTTCAGGCTTCTGAAGTTTCAATATGTAACTGAGAAACAATAGATTATAGAATATGTAACATTACAATCAACCCTGTATAGTTTTTTGTTTTTTTTTACAAACTATTGGTTAAAAGCATAGTTTTTAACAAAAGTCTATACCTGCACTTCTGTAGCTGAGATCTCCAAGAATTTTATCTCCAACTTTTCGAAGTTTCCAATGTTGCCTTAATCTCAAAAGCTCAGAGTTGAAGTCTCTTTGTAGCTTATTTTCTTGGTTTTCAGTAACTGATTTAGTCAGTCTTTCTGCCCCCTTCAATAGGATTTGTGCTGCTCCAGCAAGTGACTTCTTTTTAGATATCAGCTGCAGTGTCTGAGGATTCTATCAAAAACAATCCAGAAGTATAGTTTTTAAATGTATTATTTTTAAATGATTTTAAAATTATGTATTTTCTCAGTAATAAAATACACACTCAAGAGAAGTTTCATAAAAATGTCACAATAGGGCCGGCCGAGTGGCACATTGGTTAAGAGCTGGCTTGGGACGCCAGAGGGCCCCGGTTCAGATCCCACCTATGAGGGCCAGTGACACTGCCCTCCGCAGCTAAGATGCTGAACAACAGCTCAACCTGGAGCTGGGCTGCCGTGAGTCCTCGGCGACAGCGTAGGCTGCAGCCCCTGCTGCAGTGGGTTGCCATGGGCTACCATGTGTAGCCAGCAGCCAGCGTGAGCTGCCAAGAGCCACAGTGAACGGCCGTCCAGAAGCCGGCGACTGATCTGCCTCGACCGGGAAGAGTACAATGACGGTGCCAACTTGGGCCAGTGAAGCAACATCCTCCACAACTAGACTGAAGAACAAAACGACAGCAACTTGTCTGTTCCCTTCACCAAATTCCCCAGCGCTGTTCCTATCCCTCAATTACCCAATAAAAAATCTTTAAAAAAAAAAAAAGTCACAATAATCTATTGTTCATATTAGGGAACCTAATTCTAAGTTCTTAGAGAGCTCAAGAAACTCCTGGGGACTCCTTTTTGAGAAAAGCACAGAATGGTAGAAAAAGCAGTGGGCTATGAGTCAGGTGTTGGAGGCAGGGCTTTCTAACCACTGGCTTTACGCAATCTGAACACATCACAGATGTGGGCCTTAGTTTTCTCTCTCTAAAGTGAAGGAAGCAGAATTATCTCTAAGAAGTCTTCCAGTGCAACATTCCTAGATTCTGAAACTATTATCACATGAGTAATTACATTCAATAATTTGATCTACAAATGAGTTCTTACTACCATCACTTTCTCTCCATTCCACTAATTTGCTCATTGTTCTGATGCTGTTTTCCTTAACGACCTAAGTGGCCTTACTGACTTCAGACTCTTCATTCACCAATTCATCCTTCTGCTGCCTCCCTTTCATCTTCTAATGTTCAAAAATTAAGTATACTCTTCACCAAATCTCAGTAATTCTGCTTCATTTTTAATATCTTCCGTAATTTGGCCTAATTTTCTAACCAGGCCCTAAAAAGGGGTCAGGGAGTTAGAAGGGAAAATTGAGACTTATAAAAGAACTTGTTCAAGGTCACAAGGCCAGTTAGGGCAGAGGAAGGATTTGAACCCAGGTCTATCTGACTCCAGAGTCATTTTACCATCACATTTTTGTATAATACAGTACATACCAAGGACTAGGCTGTAAGATTTGGGAAACTTTAAAGTATTATATTATTGAGACTTCACTCTTCCGAGGGTCACAGGAATATTAATAAAACAATAAAGAAGATGTGGTTTTATGCCTTTTTTGAACCAGTTAGTATTTAAATCTTCAGCTTGACTTAATTTTGTATGTAAAGAAAAAGGAATAACAGGCACAAAGCCTAAAAAATGATCCTGGGACTTAATAAAATGGTACCATTATTCAGTGGAAGCCCACAAATACCTGTTTTGGAGGAAGTGCATCCTGAGAGACGGGATCAAGAGTCATAAATTTTTTATCCCTAACAATACTGAGAACGTCATAGAGAACGCACATCTCTGTCAAGGCACTTCTCAAATTGTTCCTCACTGAGTCCCAAGGCCAAAGGGAAGGCTGAAATTTTACCAACCCTAGAAAGGAAACACAAAACAAAACATAAGTTTTAGTTATATTGACTAGAAGATACAAAACTCATTTAGAGATTTAGAAGTACTAACAGAAGAAATAATCAATTTTACTTCAAATTGTTTCCTCTTTTGTCCTATCTCTCCACCCTTTCTTGAATCTTTGCTACCATTTAAGTAAGCATTCCTACATGGTGAAAAAATGATACCTAATTTCCATATATTAAATCTAACATTACAACATGATAGGTTGGCATTCAAATACTTTTTTCAATTTATGCAGGCCTTTTTAAAACCTTTGTTTCTTCCAGCTTTTAAAACATGAATAAGTAATTATAGGGAATTTCCAAAATATAGAAAAGTACAAAAATAAAAATGACTTATAATGGCAGCATTTGGCTATTAAATACTATTAAGATATCTTCCAACTTTTTAAACATTTTTAAAGTTTATTTTTAAAAATAAATTTCATGAACACATGCTTACTGTACAGAGTTCAAACAAGAGAGTTACAGAGTAAAAAAGTGCAAGTTTTCCCTTATTCTTCACTCCTAATTCTCTTCCCTCCTGAGAAGTAATCACTACTAACAGTTGGGGTGTAGCTGTCTAAATGTTTTTCTATGTATTTACATATATATACTCCCATCTTTCTATTACTTGCTTTTTTCCCTACTTAATATGTTTTAGAGACACTTCCATGTCAGCACATATAGATCTATTCCATTCTTTTAACACAGTATGATATTCTGGAGTATGGATGGATATACAATAAATTTAACCATTCCTATTTATTGAATATGTAGATTGGTTCAACAATGTTAACAGCAGTAAACATCTTTTATTTATTTATTTTTTTGGACCAGTTTATGTTTATTGCCAGATTTATTTGTTTGGACAAAGCATCTATATATTCCTTCATTAATCTTTTTTTTCTTTTAAATTTTTTAATTAAAATATAGCTAGCATACAATATTAGTTTTAGGTGTACACCATAGTTATTCAACATTTATTAACCTAAAGAGATGATCACCATGATAAATCTAGTAACCATCTGACATTGTACAACGTTATTACAATATTACTGGCTATATTCCCTATGCTGTACATTACATTCCCATGACTTATTTATTTTATAACTGAAAATTTGAATAACGGTAAACATCTTTAAAAATACATATGTAAACGTTTGTGTACATGTATATTTTCTGTAGGTTAAATTTTAGTAGTGATATTAGTGGGTCAAAAGAGATACACATTTAAAAATTTTGACACATGCTGAACTGCCAAACTGTCTTCCAAAAAGGCTCTATCAATTCGCACTCCCAACCCTGGATATTAACAATCTTTTAAATTTCTGCCAATCTTATTCATGAAAATAGCTTCCTAAGGATGTATTAGTTTGTTTCTCCTCTCTCTGTGAGCTGACTATTTAAATCTTTGGCCTGTTTTTCCAATGAGCTGTCTTTTTCTTTGCAGGTTGAAGGGACTCTGAATATCAGGGATATCAACCACTTGTGTTATCATTTTTGTTGCAAATATTTTTCTCAGTCTGTCACTTATCTTTTTACTTTATTTACAGCATTCTTTTCCATTAATATTTTAAATTTTATGTAATTAATACCTTTATCTTTTCCTTTTTAACCTCATTTCCTATTTTGCTTAAGAAGGTCTCCCTTACTCCCAAAGTTATACAATTATAACTTCCTTCCAATATTTTTTTTTATTCTCTTCATTTGAATTTCAATCCTTGTGGAAATAATTTTTTTTGTGAGGTATGATGTGGTATTTACCTTTGATTTCCAAATAGACCCCAAACTGTCCTAAGATCACTAGCTTTAAATTCCATCCTTAAATTCTCATTTACATAGGGTCTGTTGCACATAACTAAATCAAGAATTGTGAATATTTTAAATCCTTGACAATAATGATAATCATACTTTTTCTACAATCTTCTTTTTTTTTTCTGGGAAAGGTTGAACCCACACTTAGATCAGGTATTAAATTTAAGGTTGGTATCATGGGCTTGTAGCATGAGTATTGTCATATTGAGCCTGTGGTTTTGTGTTTAACACATTAAACTGCAAAATCATTAGTATCTGTTAGTGTTCTATGCAGGGGTTGCCCAAGTAGTATAAGAGGATTTTATAAATGATCATCCAAGCAAGGTCACTACTGGGAGTAAAAGCAGTAGTCAAAAGACAACAGGCATAAACTGAGGCTGTGCCAAGCAATCGAGGGTGAAACAGGATTTTTTGATGAGTGTTTTTTGTGTGTGTACCGGATCGTGGTCTCATGGAACCGAAGAACAGAGACACAGACCAGAGAAAAGTTGCAGAAAAAGACAGTTTATTAGAAGAAAAAATACATTTCAAAGAAGCATAAGCCAGCCGGAGGAGTACAGAATGGCTCAAGGGCCATTATTAGAAGGGAAAGTACACTCCAAAGAGTTTGTGGCAGTCCGAGCAAAAGAAGCTCAAAAGGCCTACAATTTTCTAACTAGCCTCCCTCCTTCCAATTTTGTTTTTCATTTACTACATACATAGAGCATCTTGCTTATCCTGGCATACTGGCTCTACACGATTTGGCCCCTGCTTATCTCTTAAAACATTATTTCATACTCCAGTCAACACAAACCTCTTTTCAGTAGGTGTTACTATTAGTATCAACATTGCACAGGGAAACAAAGTTCAAGCTCACACAGGTAAAAAGGGTCAGAGCCGCGAACTGAACTACAGGACTCTTAACCAGAGGGTGCCACGCTGCAAAACCTCTATTAACAACGTATTTAGGGGGCCAGCTGAGTGGCGCGTTGGTTAAGAGTTGGCTTGGGATGCCAGCTCTGAGCAGCAGTGCCGGGGTTCAGATCCCAAATGAGGGCCAGTGACTCTGCGCCCTCTATAGCTAAGATGGTGAACAACAGCTCAACCTGGAGCTGGGCTGCCATCAGTTGCTGGCGATGGTGTAGGCTGCAGCCCTTGCTGCAGTGGGCTGCCATAAGCTACCATCAGTGGCTGTCCAGAGGCCTGCGAACAACTGCCTGGCCCGGGGAAGAGCGCAATGATAACATGGGCCAGTGAAGCAACATCCTCCACAACTAGACTGAAGAACAAAAGGACAGCAACTTGTCTGTTCCCCTTCCCCAATAAAATCTTAAAAATAACAATAATAACTGTGTCAATTATGTTACATCCACACCATGGACTATTATGCAGTCATTAAAAAAAAGTAGTTAAACACTTCAGCAGTGGCAGTGTCGCAAATGCTCCAACTCAAAGAAACCTGCAGAAGGATAAGGAGTAATAAGAGTCAAGCAGTGCCCTAAACTGACAAATTATTTTTTTAAAAAGACGACGAGCACAATCACAGTTCCACGAGGGTGTTCCTTTCAAACAGACGTGTTGCTTTAAAACACGCACAGCACCTCACCTAGCGCAGAAGAGGCGGAATGGCATTACCGGGGCGCCTGCTGGGGCCCCGGGACCGCCCAGTGGACTCGAGCGGTAGACACGGGCCTTACCTTCCTCATCGTCCTGGTCGGCGCTGGACCCGGCGCCCGCCCAGTCCTGCGCATCGCCCTCGGCCCCCGCCGCCTCCTCCTCTTCGGAGCCCGAACCCTGGCTGAAGTCGATCCGCTGGGCCAGACGCGCCAGGTTCTGCGACATGGACAGCGGCTGCAGGTACGTCTCAGTGCCATCCAGGCCCACCTCCTGGACCTGCTTCTCGCAGGCCGACTCGATGCTGATCCGCACAGCGCGCACCCCAGACATGCTGGCGAGCGGCGGGAGGAGCCCCCACAAGCCCAACACCGAGGTAGAAAGCGGAGGCGCCTCCGCGGGGAGGCCGGAACCCCGGAACCGCGGAACCGCGGTGCCTGTGCGGGCCCTGGGGAAACGAAACGCAACTCCTCCGCCGGAAACAAAGCCGGAGGCTCAGAGACTTCCCCAGAATGCACTGCAGGCCCCACTCCCTGCTCGGAATCTCCCGGAAAGAAACTAGCAGGCGCGCGTGCGCTCGGGACTTCCGTGCGAAAACTTCCGGTGAATCCCAGGGCTGCGGCCGGAGGAAGGTACCTGCCTGTAGGAGGTGTGGACCGCAGCGGAGGTAGGGACCCGGCTGCAGAGAGCGTGGGGAGGCTGATCCCTGGAGTCCATCTGCATTTTAAGTGTTCCTTGTTTCAAGTAGGAAGGGAAAGCTGAAGAAGACCGAAAAGAAGTGGGGAAAAAGAAATGGATGGGTCCCTGGATCTTCGCAATGACAGTCCCTCTGGCAATGCTGAAATTTGAGGGCTTACTCCTAGAGTAGAAACAACAGGTCTGAAGAGTTATAATAAAATAAGGGCGTAGTTTGGGGAAATCAATTGTGCTTATTACTACTTTAGAGTATACTAATTAGTCTATTATTTGTTTTCGCTTTAGTCGTAAACTCCACGACAATGACTATCTCCAAGACACTTGCATGTATATGCACTTAATAATATTTATTTCATGCCTAAGTAACTGAAAATAAGTAATATTTAAAAGATTAAGAAGCAATGGTATAAGTCCCCAGGAAAGTATTTCATTGGTAATAATTCCACAAGGGAAGATGGATTATTTTCTATTACAAAATTCTATTTCATTTAAGGAATTGTGTATGTCACTTATGAATCTTTCCAAGTTTGGTTCTGACCAAGATTAAGTTTTTTAACTACTTTCCAAAGGTATTTAAGAAAATAAGGTTACCTTGGTGTCAGTCTCTGACAAAACAATATATGTGGCAGGGTGTGTTGGGGCATGTCAGTTTTCAATAGGAACCTATTTTTGCACGCTCAACAGTGATTCTGTTGCAAAATCATGTTTGAGAACTACTGTACTCTTTATGCATACATTTGTAAAAAGTTTTAATACTTTTTTTTAAAGATTTTTTTTATTGGGGAATTGGGGGGATGGGAACAGTGCTGGGGAATCGGGGGAAGGGGAACAGACAAGTTGCTGTCGTTTTGTTCTTCAATCTAGTTGTGGAGGACGTTGCTTCACTGGCCCAAGTTGGCACCATCATTGCGCTCTTCCCAGGAGAGGCAGATCAGTCGCCGGCTTCTGGACGGCCGCTCACTGCGGCTGCTGGCCGCTCACGCTGGCTGCTGGCTACACACGGTAGCCCATGGCAACCCACTGCCACAGGGGCTGCAGCCTACGCTGTGGCTGGCGACTCACAGCAGCCCAGCTCCAGGTTGAGCTGTTGTTCAGCATCTTAGCTGTAGAGGGCAGTGTCACTGGCCCTCATATGTGGGATCCGAACCGGGGCCCTCTGGCGTCTCAAGCCAGCTCTTAACCATTGCGCCACTCGGCCGGCCCTTAATACTTTATTTTAAATTTAACATTTATCATGGGCTCTATTTGTGCTAGTCACTAGTGCTAAGTATTTTAAACGTATTTCTCATTTAATCTTTATAAGGTGCTCCTTCTTCTGCAGCTTTGCTGGGGCAGGGACCATGTCTTATTCACCTTTGTATATTCTCAGTGCCTGGCACATTGATGATGCTCAGTAAATTGTCGTTGAATGATAGAACAGGCCACACAGAGGCTTCACAGATGGAAGCTGGAGTTAACCCAAAAGCAAATGGGAGTCTTCTTTTGGATATCTACTGTAGTGGCAGACATTAGGTTTGCTAATGCAACTAATTCCAAGCATTATTCCAAACTTAAAGAAGTCAGTCTTCTTTGCTGTCGTTAATACCCTTCAGAAAAAGAGAACGTTTCAGTAAAACAGGATGTATCATAGAAATAAGGCCAAAGGTAGGAGTTCCAGGAACAGTAATCATAGATTTGACCAATGAATTTACTACATTTTTGTAGAAAACCCAGTTTTTAAGATTCGATTAGTCACATAATTGCCCTATCTGTCAGATTGTGTTCTCATTTTAGGTTTGGGAAGATGATGCAAATGCAGCTGGTCCTCAATCTTTTGGAACTTCTGTCTGTCAGCAAAATAATTTTCAACTGACATTCCTAACATAGTGTGGTTTAAGAAATATATGCAAAAATAGAAATTAAAAAAGGATGAAATAAAATATGTAAACAGACTTTCTAATATTTCTGCACCCCTTGGAATGTCCTGTGCACTTGCTGTGGTTCATGCACCCCACTTTGGAAACACAGATGGAAGCGTAAAGGTAATATTCCCACTATCTAGTCAGGGGAAGAGGCCCTGGACTTTTTAAGATGACACCCTCCTCCCGCCCCCATATTTGAAATCAGATGGGAAGCAGCCTTTGAATGGGATCCAAGCTAATTCACTCTAGAATTTTTTTAATATAGCAGACGTTTTCAGCTGAGGTCCTTAAGGCAACTTCTAAAGACCTCAGGTGTGAACTCAGGCAAGCCTGCAGGAGGGCAGCTCACTTCCCCAAGGGCTGTGATACTTAATAACTCTGCCCATCTCCTGGCGTCTTGTTTGGAGAGGCTTCCTGTTCAGAACAGGTTCCTAGCTCACTCTGCGGTTAGTTCTACATTCACTTCTCTCTCACTCAATGCAGAACCCTCTTCCTGTTAATACTCTTCAGAGCCAAGTCCTCTTAGCCTTTTACCTACACTTGTGTTGATTTTTCTTGTCACTGTACCAGCTTGTCATTTCATTCATAATATGCCTCATAGGAATTCGCTAGTATCTGAGAAGTTTGTATATCTTAATTCAGTCTTACTTGATAGATCCCAATACATTTCATAGAAAAACATCACATGAGTATGCACGTCATTGACACTTTCCCATCCTTTCAAAGGCAAATAGGAAAGCCTCACCCAACATGGTCATCTCTCCCCAATTCTGTCTACCACTTTCCATATTATCATAAATGGAGGTCACTGAATATAAAAAAGATAACTCCTTAGGAAAAAAATGGTATTATATATAGGAATAGGATATCAGTAGATCAGAAAATAATTCTAACCAAGTCAAGAGAACAGAAGGAAATATTTTTAAATAATTGCACATTAATTACTAAATCTCCATAATCCTTTAGTATAAACTTAAAGCTATTTTAAGAAAATATAGGAAAAATTAAGTACATACTTCCAAAAAAGGAGATTCAAGGTATTGTATCCTTAACTTTATATTTAAGAGTTAAAAAGGTAACAACAAACACTTCTGTATTCACACCATTTTATTAGGAAATACATTACTGATATAGTTGGATCTCCTTTGTAATCTTCCTAGTTCACATTTCCCTCCCTTCTAGAAATAACCAGGACTTATCATTTCCATATGTTTAATTTTAAATCAGTCACCTATTGCTGTGAAATAGAGCACCCTAAAAGTCACAAGTTTAAAACAAAAAGCATTCATACTTGAAGCATTTATGGGTCCTAAGGGTTGGCTGACCTAAGCTGGGCTTCCATTTTCTCCTACGTACTGACTGGCTTACTAGTTCATCACTATCTTGTTAACTCTAGTACCTTCAAGGAGGTACTTTTATTTTTTATTATTATTATTTTTTTAGCTGAGCCATCCTGTCACTTGTTGGCAGCTCAGAGGCAGCTCAGCTCAGTCCGGGACTCAAACCGCTGTTACTCAGAGCTCACACTTTTTTTTTTTTTTTTAATTGGGGAATTGGCGGATGAGAACAGCGCTGGGGAATTGGGGGAAGGGGAACAGACAAGTTGCCATCCTTCTGTTCTCCCGTCTAGCCGTGGAGGACATTGCCTCACTGGCCCAAGTTGGCACCATCATTGCGCTCTTCCCGGGCAAGGCAGATCAGTCACTGGCCTCCGGACAGCCGCTCACTGCGGCTGCAGGCCGCTCACGCTGACTGCCGGCCACACACGGCAGCCCATGGCAACCCACTGCCACAGTGGCTGCAGCCTACGCCGTCGCCGGCGACTCATGGCAGCCCAGCTCCAGGTTGTGCTGTTGTTCAGCATTTTAGCTGTAGAGGGCAGTGTCCCTGGCCTTCATATGTGGGATCCGAACCGGGGCCCTCTGGCATCCCAAGCCAGTTCTTAACCATCGCGCCACTTTTGAGTGAGCTCTTAACCAACTGAGCCGCTCAGATGGCCCAAGGAGGTACTTTTATATTTTTCCAGCTTTTACAGTTGTCTGTAGTGAGATGATTTGTCTGAATTATTTAATCCACTATTACTGGAAATAGAAATCTTAACATTTAACACCGACCATTATTTTTTCCTTTTCTGCCAAATGCCAGTTCACAATTTCTGCCTAGTTTTCTTTTTTTTTTTTTCTGCCTAGTTTTCTATTGGGTGTTTGTCTTTTCCTTATTGACTTGGAGATGTTCTTAATATGAGCTGAATTTCATCAGGTGTGTTTTAAAAATATGTTTTCCCAGACTGTGGTCTGCATTCTTCCTTTTTGAGCTATACTTTGAAAAACAAAAGTTTTTACATTTTTACATCAGATCTGATTTTTCTATCTTTCATAGTTTGTGCCTTATGTTCTTTAGGAAATCCTTCCATACCACTAGGTCATAAATATATCCTTTTATACTTATAAAACTTTAAAAAAATTTTTTTTTAAAAGATTTTATTGGGGAAATGGGGGAGGGGAACAAAGTTGCTGTCCTTTTGTTCTTCAGTCTAGTTGTGGAGGACGTGGCTTCACTGGCCCATGTTGGTATTAGCATTGTACTCTTCCCAGGTGAGGCAGTCACTCGCGGTGGCTTATGGCAGCTCAGAAAGCTCATGCCCGCTACTGGCCAGCTCCACTACAGCCTACATTGTCGCTGGTGACTCACGGCAGCCCAGCTCCAGGTCGAGCTGTTGTTCACCATCTTAGCTGTAGAGGGCAGTGTCACTGGCCCTCATGTGTGATCTGAACCGGGGCCCTGCTGCTCAGAGCAGGCGTCTCAAGCCAACTCCTAACCAAGGAGCCACTTGACCGGCCCTAAAAGTTTTAATAGTCACATTTAAATCTTTAGTTTATCTAGTGTTGAGGCCAATCCAATTTTATTTTTCCATATTAGTAACTGGTTGTGGCAGCACTATTTCAGTACATTTTCCTTTCCTTATTGATCTACGAGGCCACCTGTCAAAAAAATCAAGTATCTACATATGTGAAGATCTGTTTCTGGCCTTGGTTTTCTGTTCTATTGGTTTGGTTGTCCATCACTGTTTCAAAACCACACTGTCTTACTTTTAATAAGTTTATACATTTTGATATCTTCATAATCAAATAACCCTGACCTAGTTGTCTTAAAAATTGTCTTTGCTTATCTTGGCTCTTTGTTATCGCATATATTTTAGAATCAACTGGTGAGGTTCTATGAAAAGCCCTACTGGCATTGAATTGAATTTATAGCTTTGAGAAGAATTGATACTTTTATGAGATTGCATCTTCCTATTGTTAACTACTTTTTGGCACTTATTTAAATTTTCAACAGTTTTATGATTTTCTCCATAAAGGTTATGTGTAACTTTTGTTAAATAAAAATATTACTGTGTACTTTTGATAACATTGTACTTGATAGCTTTTTCACATTTACGTTTTTGTTTCTTGTTGGTATACAGAAATACAACCCATTGTATATTGAGCTTATATTTAGGAACCTTTTAGAACTCAGTCTAATAATTTCACTATAGGTCCTCTTTGGTTTTCTAAGAATTCAATCACGTTTTCTAAAAAGCTTATTTTTTTCTTCCTTTTCAGTAGTTACACTTATTCTTTCTTTCCTTTCCTTTTTCCTGGTTGAAACTCCAATATTTCATGATATTGAGCATCCATGTCACATTCCTAATTTTAGTGAATATGGCATATAATTTTGTGAATGTATGTGTGTGTGTGTGTGCATTTTTAATTGCTTCTCAGAGATCCTATTGTGTTCATAGTGGCCTCCTTGCTGTTTCTTGAACATACCAAATTTTCTTTTCCTCTGGGCCTTTGAATCTACCAGGAAGGATGTTTTTCCAAATAACTTAATGGCTCACTTCATTTCTTTCAGGTTTTTGCTCAGATGTCTATCAGAGGCTTTCCCTGAACTCCCTATATAAAACGTTTAACACAGAGTCAGCTTCCATTTTTGATGTTTGACTGCTGACAGCTATTAAGCCTTAAACCACGTTTTCTTCCCCTTCTGCCCCACATTTGGGCAAGTTGATAAGAAAGCCTGGCTGCTCCTTCCTTCCACGCCTGTGAGAAATTCAGACTTCATGCGGCACCGTCAACCTGGCCCTCCCCTCTAACCACCATAAAACCCCCAAGCCAGTCTCCTTTCCCTGTTCTCTCAAGCCACTTTTGGACTTGCTTGGGAGCTGCCTCACTTTCCCCAGAGAGCCTCATTATATAAATAAGAAACCCTTTCATATGTGTGTGTGTGTGTGTTTAAATTTTGGGTGGGTAGTCCATTCTGTCTCAATGTAGGAGGCCACAACAAAATAGCAGCCACCTTTACAGTCCATCCAATGCTTTACTTTTCTTCATTGCACTTGATACCACCTGACATTATTATAGATTTACTTATCTGCTTATTAATTTGTCTTTCCTACTGTATAAATGATTGAATGCTAGATCCTAGCATCTAGTGATATATCTGGCATAATCATCCACCCATTTATTCATTCAACCAATATATATTGAGTGCCTACTTTGGCTAGGCACTGTTAAAGACTAGTGCTATTGTGGTGATCAATACTGTTGCCCTCATAGAGCTTACATTCCAGATGGTCAGGGTAGGTGTTCAATACGTACTTGTTAAATGAATGAATACGAGCATTAATATTTTTGTTGGAAGAATATTAAAAAGAAACACAATATCACATTAGGAATATAAAATTTTTATTCACATTTTTGCTACAAACTAGTTATTTTAAAATAATATTTAGTAATTTATACTCAAAGGACATGTAATAGCTAACATCCAAAGAAGACAAAAAATATTTTTTGAAAATTTATTATGTGCTTAGTACTAAAGAGCTCCTAAATCTGTATATTGTTAGCATTGGTAAAATTAGAAAGTTGATTTTTGGCTAATGATTATTATAGGAGAACATTGAGGAAAATTTCAACCATAATTAGTAAGAGTATAATTTTTATATTTCACGAAAGACAGTGGTCATGTTTAGCAATAGCCTCATTTATAAAGTACACTCACTTCAATGTTGTATTTTGATGCTGTTTCTTTTCCCTTCTCTTCTTACAAATAACCAACCAGGCACTAACTGCTTCCAGTTGGCAATCCAAACAAAGGAGGAATCATGGCTAACCATCTAGTTGCTAATGTTTGTGAAAGGCAAATTGCAAACTGAGTGTGGTGCAACTGCACCAAAAGGGGTAAAGTTACTCCCTCTGACCACCTTATTCCATGAAAAAAGTATACTCTGACTTCTAAAATGGATTTTTAATATTCAATACAAAGATTCAACAACTATCAAAATTTCCAACATTGATTTTTCTAATACTCAGAAAGATCCAATTAGCAGTTGTGAGACTAATTTGGAAAATTTAATAATGTTAAACAAATGTAAGTTATTACTATTAAATAGTAAAAATAATCAATCACATAATTCCAGATCATGTTTATATTTAAGGTATAAATATAGGACTGATTTTTAGAATAAAAAAATAACGAAGAACATGTCCATTATGTATCTTTGTTCCCAATAAACTTTGCAGATAGATCTACAAAATAATACAGAGCCATGTCAACATACGTTTCATTTCAAAGCCCAAAAAAATAGGGTGTAAGTAGTGAGATCATTTCTATTGGATTTTATATATGTATCAATGAATTAATCAATCAATTAACCTTAGTTAATCATTTCTTTTTCTAAATATCAGTTGATTTAATCTCGCCCAAATGAATGGGTCTCTTTTGGTTGGTCAATGCGATAGAGAAACTCTGCAGGTAAGAAGTAGCCATGATATTCCACTGTTTCTGGGGTAGTGTCATAATGGTAGTGTCCCCCTTCTCCATGATGACTAAAACAGTGAGTGTGCTCCAGTCGCAAATCAAACCCCTAGGATGACAGACAAGCTGTTAATACTGAAATTTTGGATAGAATTTATTTAAGGGAGAGGGAGACCTTTTTAAATTTATGTTAGTTTTTATTTTATCGTTTAGGTAGGTAATACATTCACATGATTCAAAATTCAAAGGGTGAAAAAGGATATATTCAGCAAAAAAATCTTTCCATCTCCTGACCTCACCACTCACTTTTTTTTCCTTGCAGGCAACCAATGTAAGCAGTTTCTTCTATATCCTTCTAGGAAGATTTATTTTATTTTATTTTTTTACTCAAATGGTAGCACTCTACATAATGTGTTGTATATTGCTTTTCTTCATTTAACAGTATAGCTTTGAGATCTTTGTATATCAGATCATAAAAGAGCTTCCTTATTCTTTTACACCAATGTGATATTCTACTGTATGTAGGTACTACTTTTCAATTGATGTTTAGATTATTTTCAATTCTTCTATTATAGCAATGCTGTCATGAATTAATTACCTTTTAAGTAATCATTTTACACACTTAGGCAAGTATGTAATATTCCTAGACATGTAATCATTGGAACAAAATATATCACTAGTCAGTATTTTGGTAGATATTTGCTTTGAATTGGTCTATATTATAATGTTTTTTTTCTAGTGCGTAGTATTAGAATATAATGAAGAGTATAATGAACAGCAAATAAAATGATAGGAGACCTGAATCCTATCATGATTCTGCTATTTAATAACATGACTTGGGTGTTATAATGCCTGTGCCTTCATTTTCTCAAAGGTAAAATCTGCTCTGCCTAACTTACAGGGTTGTTAGCCACCTGCTCCCTTATCTTTGAAAATAATTCTAGAGACTCTCCTAGTTCTTAAAAAAACAAAAAGTGCTTAATTCTAAAAAAATATACTAAAAATTGAGCATTATCATTGTGCTATGCTGCAATATAAAAAACAGACGTAGACTTACTGGGTCTCTGGAGACAAAAACTGGCAGACAAACCAAAGGAGCCTTCATCTCATAAAAACGCAACCATTTATTCACCTCTTCATCAGAGTTCAATGGGCAGGAAGAAAATTCTGCAGGCTACAATAAAAGATCATTAAACAAGTAAACATAATATTGAAAATTAAAATTTTATATTAAGTTAAAAACTTTAAGCCTTCTTATACATTCTACTGACTATCTTTGGCATCAAAAGAAGTTACACACCCTAGTTTTCAAACGGATCAGTGTGTACACACTAAAACATAAATGAATAAATGAAGGAATGAGTCCATTATATTTTTACTTTTCATAGCCTCAGTTTTTCTATGAATATATCCTCATCCTAATCTTAAATGTCATCCTATATTTATTCAAGTACACAATATTTTATTATTAACTATAATTACCACAATGTGTATTAGATTTCTAGAACTTAATTCACTTATAACTGAAAGTTTGTACCCTTTGACCAAATTTTCTCATTTCCTCCCACTGTCACTCCCAAGCCCCTGACAACCACCATTCTACTCTGTTTCTCTAATTTGGACTTTTTTAGATTTCACATATAAGTGATATCGTGCAATATTTGTCTTTCTGTTCTTATTTCACTTAGTATATAATGTCCAAGCTCATCTACATTATTGAAATGGCAGGATATCCTTCTTTTTTAAGCCTGAAAATTTTTATTTATATATATATATATATATATAATTAGATAGGTAGATAGGTAACAATTTCTTTGTCCATTCATCCATTGACAGATACTTAGGCTGTTTCCGTAATTTGGCTATTGTGAATAATGCTGCAGTGAACATAGGGTGCAGATTATCTCTTCAAGACGCTGATTTCATTTCCTTTCGATAAATACCCAGAAGTAGAATTGCTGGATCAAATGGTAGTTATGTTTAAAAACATTTTTTTGAGGTACCTCTATTCTGTTTCCCATAATGGCTGTACAATCTTATAATCATTTGCTATTTACAAATAGATTTGTCCATAATTTTCTTGTAAATAATTTGGAAAAGTAAGTAGTTTCACAAATGTTATATCTTTCTTTGCAGGATCAGCTGGCTTGCCATTTAAAATTATCAGTATAAAAAAACATTAAAACAAAATGTTTTCTAATGGTTTTACTGATAAAAAGAAAATAAAGTTGTACTCACTTTTATACTTCATTCATTCATTCATTCATTCACCTACATAAAACCATTTTAAAAGTCCTGAATGCCCTGGGTCTGTCTTCCTATAATATTCTATGCTTAATGTCTTATAAACTTATTATATTTAGCCTATAAGATTGTCATTTTCATGAGTTCTTTCCCCCAAACCACAACTATCCTAATAGCAAAGTCTATGTATTGAGTTTGGGATTCTGGCAGTAAAAATTATAATCAGTTTTTCAGGCTTACATTCACATCTATCTGGATCTTAAAAGCAAACACATTGAAAAGAAAGTTCTAACACATTCACATGAAAAAGGACTAGCTAGATGTTATCACACAATATGATTTACAGTATTGTTTGTCATTTAAATTTAAAGTGATACAATCTAGTAAAAGGATTTGTTCAGGGTATCTTTAAAAGTAGAATTCTCAATGTATATTAAAAGAATCCTTAAGATCTTAAGCATGTGCATACACGCATACCACACACGCATGCATTCATGCAACCACAGGCCCTTACCATAACGTGAGTCTTCGCTTTTCCCTTCTGAATTACAAAAGTACCTCCCATCCCTACAGGCTTATCTCCATAATGGTTTTCAAGAGTCTGTCTCATACAAGTCACAAAATTAAGTATTCCAGTTCTTCTTTTGGCTTTCACCTCAATGACCTAGAGAGGACATAAATATGCATACCATTGTTCTAAGGTACAAAATTTTATGTAAATAACTACCAGAGTGAAACATTATATAATCTAATGCCATCAAGCAACTATTCACTGTGTGCTTAGAGTACCCAAATATGAGTTGAGGTATCTCAATTCTTTGTTAAGTCTTGATCAATTTTACATATATATGTAAACATTTACATATATATATATATAATCCTGATCAACTTTACATATATATATTTACATATATAGTCTTTATCAATTAGTCTTGATCAATTTTACGTAAAATTGATCAAGACTATATATATGTAAATATATGTATGTAAAATTGATCAAGACTTAACAGAGAATTGAGATATATACCGTATTTGCCGGCGTATAAGACGACTGGGCGTATAAGACGACCCCCTAACATTTCCACTCAAAATACAGAGTTTGTTATATACTTGCCGTATAAGACTACCCCCTCTTCCGCACACCTTCCACACACCAAATAAAAGGTAAAACAATATCAGATTTGATTTGGCCCACTGAAGTGCAAACAAGCGTATTGTATTTCGTGTCACCACATAACCGTTTTGGCGATGTTGAGCCACCATGTCTGCTACATGTTTTTTGAGTTCTGGCCAGTGTGGGGTGCCTCTTCTTAATGCACACTTACCCCTTGGCATACTCTTTAATGCTTTCTCATTTGATTTCCAGTCCCGAACCATCTTTTCTGTTACTCCATATTGTCTTGCAGCAGCACAATTATTATTTTCCTTAGCAAAGTTTATAACTTTCAGTTTAAAATTTGCATCATACTTCTTTCTTTTGGCTGGTGCCATGATAGGGATGATAGGGGTTTGACTGGTCGACATTTTCTATGCTGTACTGTACAATGGTGCAGTATTGTGGTTGGTTGTTGGCTGTATACAAAGCCTGATTTGATTGGTCCCTGCTCCCTGTTTGCCCGCCCTGTCACTATAGCAGTCTGGTCCACCCTTGCATCAGCATCTCCCTGGGACCTCACTAGTGCGCAAGTGCGAGCTCTTCAACATTCTAACAGGCACCATGATAGCGCAAAATCGCAAATCTTCTTCAATGCATATGTAAAGAAATATACGGTAACCCGAATTTACCACACTCGCAAAATCGCATAACAGCCGAGCATACACCCAGCAGCGCTGCTGATGCCTGAACGGTATGTGGAATGAAGTGGGCGGGCATCGGGAGGCCACTATGGCACGGGGCAAGCACTATGGGCAGTCTATCTGAAGTGTACCTGGCGTATAAGACGACCCCCCACTTGGAGGCATATTTTTCAGGGCCAAAAAATCGTCTTATACGCCGGCAAATACGGTATATATATATATATATATATATGTATATAAAATTTACTCTAATAATAAGTCTTATTCATGCTTTCTTGGACTGAGAAAGAGTGATAGCTAAATCCTATACTGAACTCTAGAGATTCTTATCATTATATGTCAATGTGGTCAAAGGTTAAGAATTTCCTGGCTTAAAAGTTATTGCTTACTAAGTATTATTCTTAACCTAGTTTTTAAATGAGACTTTTGCTCTGCCTATTGTACTCTCTGAATCTTTCATAACTGGGGTTATTTAATTGCAGGTGGGTGGGGAGAAATGATTTCAATTTCTCACTTCCTTTAAAATTCTGGACTTATGTTACCTTCACTTTTTACGTATTTTTACTTCACTGCCTCATTTCTCAAAGTAGCTGAAGTACCTATCTGTGCTTACAAAATCAGAATTTTCACAAGTGCTAAAACTGAAATCAACTTTTTGTGTACTAATAGGAAGTAAATCTGAAGTGAGGCATTAACTTTTCTTACCTCCTTGCTATAATTTTTGGCTACCATCATTTCTATCTAGTTTAATCAATGGTCTGGAACGAATGAATTACATATATACTAACTATAGGTAGATATTATCTATATTAGCTACCTGGTTCATCTATTTGACTAACTCACTCCCCACATGAATATCCTGTTACCTTTTAGTTCCTCAGAGAAAAAAAGAGTATTGCTTATTAAATATTATTTTTAACCTCAGTTTTAAATGAGACTTTTTCACTCTGCCTGTAGTACTCTCTGAATCTTTCATAACTGGGCTATTTAAAGAGCTTTGACTTGGGTACTGTGGATTTTCCTTGGAAAACCATATTTTTGGCAATAAAAGTTCAAATTTTTAGCTGAGAACTTTTAAAGAACAACGTTTTTATGAACAAAATCACCTTTCCAGGTTGGCCCTCACTGGCAAAAAGATTAGCCAGTAATGCACACCCAAAATCATGATATTTCTCACTGTATTTCTCTAGTAGGCACCCTCCATCTGCAGGGTTAACACGGGCAAAGTAACTTCCATTTACAGGAGGTTTGTGTTCACTTTCTGTTTGAATGACTGGCATAAACTAAAAAAAGAAAAGTAAGGTAAAATTAGTTAATCCTAGTATGTCTTTACAAACAGAATATCTTGAATAATGTGACACAATTTTATCCTAGACTTTAAGACATTTTATTTCAAGACCTAATAAGAAAACATAAAATATGAAGTATTTAATTTTAGATTCAAAACATGTTAAAGATTTATAAATATCAAAAAACTGAAAAAAAATTTTATAAAATGTTAACAGTATTTCTTACAGTGTTCCTATAACATTGTAACATTTGCTTTAAAATGTCTTAATTTTAAACTATTTTTTTTGCTATCTTGAACACTAGGCAAATTATATTAATGATTCTGCAAAAGCACTTGTATGATTATTGACTAATGGTCACATCTGTAAAGGTTGTGAGAGAATGGGCAGACCGAAGCAGCCATTCATTCTTCTATTCATGAGATGTGAAGAAACAGTGATTTTTTTTTTATGTTGGAAATATATTGACATTCACAGTAATAGATATTTCCTTTTGTAAATAATCATCATAATACTGGAGTAGGCTCCTACTATTTGGTCTGAAAGGGGAAGTTGAGTAGATCATTAAATATTCCATTCATCTTCTGATTGAAAGTTGCTCTCATACCAAAAGCAAAGATTTGCGGAGAAGCTAGGAATCCTCTGATGTATAAGGATTAAAAATTTTCACAATCCAGAGTCCTCAGCAGACCACAGTAGGACCTTGGACTCATCTGTGTATATATCCTAAGAAAATCTGAGCACTAGAAGTTAGTGCTCCATTACAGTTGGACCAACTGGAGCATGTGCTGTGGTCCAAGTCTGTATCAAACAGTATCAAATCTGTAAAGAGATATGACATCAACCACTTATAATTCATTCAGAAAGTAGGATTTGATAGGGCAGTAAAAGGAAAATGGCAAACCAAATGTCAAATCAATAAAATAAAATAATTATATATATGCTGACCTCAGAATTGAATCCAAGGGTCTGAAATGGGCCTGCCCCTGCTCCAAGAATAAAAGCTCCAGGTAGCTTGATTTCTTTTGCAATCTTATTTAGATCATAAACCTATATGAGAGGAAAAAAAGGTTATTTAAATCACAACTTATACGAATTCCCTGGTTTACTTTTTATTACTGAGTCCGTTAACACTTCCTTGCCACATTGGTCAATAGATCCTCTAAAAATAAAAAGAGGAATCAACCCAACTTCTACAATTTTCATGTGAATATGAAGAGTAAAAGTACACTTACTTTTTTTTTATTTACAAGAGGCAATAAGTAAGGCACACCTCCTATTTCTGCAATTCTAGTTTTCCCACAGATGCCTAAAAAAAAAAAGCCATCTTAAAAATAGGCAAACATTTAAGTCAAGTATTATAAAATGCCAGAAGACACTAATTTAAGAGTATATAACTTTTCCATTTTCATAGTTTTACAAATAGTAGGAGTTGAGAGATGTAAGTAACTAGGACCTATGTCCTATTCTAACTACCTGTGACTCCAACATTGTCATTCCAAGCATGATTTGATATAGTTGGTAGCATAAAGATAATAGAAAGTGGATGATAGGGCAAGGGCTAGAATTGGGGCCAAAGCCTGGATTGGATGAGGTTTCTAGAATTAGTATACAATTACGTATTCCTTTAAAAATCTGGGTTTGGCGGGGAGGGGTTTAAATAAAATTGTATTTTAACTTAAAGTATTTTGCTGTGGTAGAATATAATATTAGTTATTTTAGAAATCCATATTGGGAAATCCTCTTGTCAAAGTTGTTTATTCCCAAGGTTTATAAAAATGACAAGTAATGAGAGGTAACTTCATATGTTAGGAACTTTCTACTTACATTTTTAATTAACATCACAGGTATAGCTAGACACAATTTGGGAGAAGGCATTTTATTTTTTAATGTAGAGTGGAAAATAATTACCTTTTGTATTACACAGTAGAGATAACTGCTCTATTTCTTAAGCTATGCACAGGGTAGATGTACAAAATTGTTTTAGATCCCATTATGATTAGGAATTTTGGAAATGTTTTCCATGGGATCAGCAGAAATTACTCATGGATAAAACTTTTTCGTGAGAGTAACACTGAATTTTAGAGAAACCACTACAGGAATATTTTAGTAATCCAGGGAAATGACAAGTAATGAACTAAAAATGGTGACTTGAAGAGACAGGGAAAAGGAAATTAAGAAAAAGAACAAAAAATAGGCAACTATGGTGAAGTAGTGAGTTAAATTTTAGACATGTTGACCTCAAGTTGTCTTTAACATGTAGAAGTAGGTGGAGATGTCCTGTAGATAGCTGGAATTACTGATCTACAGCTAAGAAAAAAAAGAGATCTAGGTGAGATGTGCAGATCCAAATAGTAATTAAAACCACAGGAGTAGATGGAAAAGCCCAGAGAGATTGTATAGAATAAGAAAAGACTGAGAAAAGAATTCAGGAAAACATGAAAATTTAAGAGTCTGCCAGAAAGAAAGAAATCAGGAAAAATGAGGAAGAAAGAACATGGAGGTAGGAATAGCACCAATGAAGAGGCAAAATAACCAAAGACAGAGGAGAACCAAGGGGGAGAGAATGTCAGGCAGCAATGGCCAAACAGTATGAAATATGTAGAGAGATCAGATAATACTAATAAACACACTAAAGTCCTTGAGCAAGACCAGTTCATGTAGAAAGTGCCTAAGTATATTTATGAAAGATCATACATATATGTATATTACATACATACCTGGCTTCCTTAGTATTGTAATTTAAAGACTCAGAAATTATTGACCAGAAAACTCTTTTTCAAAAAGTGTAACCCTTTGGATGACATAACTAAGATTAAAATTTTTTTTTCTTTTTTCCTTGTACTCTTCTGTGTTTTCTGATTTTTAATTATTTATTTACTTAATTTTTTAAGAGGAGAATATATTTTATAATTAGAAGAAACATGGCTATAAAAATTATGCTAAATGCTTTCAAGGTGTGAAGAGAAACTGCTATCTGGTACACAAACCTTCTAAAATTTACAGGTCTACTTAAAAATCAAAGATTGCTTAAATTGGAAAGACCCGAAAATAACATTTAACCCCAATCTGAAGCCCAAATGCAAGAATTGGTTTACTCAGGTAAATGAAAACTGAATGTGGCAGAGAAAGAACTAGAGTCCAGGACTTCTAGGTAAAACTACTATTTAACAAAGATGTCTATTACTTAATAAAAGAATGAGTGAGTGTGAGTGTTTATCTCCAAATTCCTCATCACAGTAGGGTGTAATGTTAGACTTTGGAAGCCGACTGACCAGTATTTGAATCCTGATGTGATTTACACCGAGCTTACTAAGTCTCTCTAAGTTTCAGTTTTTTCATCTATAAACTAGGGCTAGTATCACACACCGAGCTTACTAAGCCTCTCTGAGCTTCAGTGTTTTCATCTATAAACTAGAGCTAGTATCGCCTCGCAGGGTTATTGTAAAAATTAAGACACCAAATATAGGTATCTGTCATACTGACAAATTACATTTACTCAAATATTTACTCAACCAGTATTGATTTCCCTTCCTTCAAACTTTAAACATTGGATGATCATTTGGCAAATTTGTTGAAGGGCTATAAATATTTAATAGATGATTCAGATACAAGGCTTTTAAGATCCCTTCTGGTCTTGAATAATTAAATAAAAACATAAAAATCAAAGTAAGTTTCCATAACAGTCACTTAAGCAATTAAAAACAAAATTCTCATGTGATATCCAAGGATTCCAGCCTATTTGAATATCTATCATATAACTTGTGAAAATTACAAAAGTGCATAAAACACAATACTTTTCCACAAGGGTACAAAATGAAATTTGACCAATATAAAAAAACAGTGAGCACAGAAATTAAGCACAATTTAATTTAAAAGTTAGGACTAATAAAAAAATATTATTAGAATCATTAATGATGCTTAAAACATTTTAAGTCTCATGTCTATGTAGAGCTCCCTTATGTTAAGTTTTCAAATACAGTCTAAATAGAAGGGAAAAGAGGAGAATGTAAACCTTTATAACTGACATCTATTTTAGTCAAAACCCAAAAGGATTATAGTTTGTATGTTTTAACTTTAGAGATATTGGAGTGATTATATATTTCTCAGTGATTCAAAGACAAAAATATAATTTTTCCCTTAAAAAAAAGTTAGGACAATATCCTTCATTTGCAGATAATTTTAGATAATCCTTAAAAATAATTCTAGTTTCAGAAAAAGATTAAGACTAAAACAAAAAAGCTAATTGCAAAAATTGCTTACCTTTTACAGGAAAGGTAAATGGCTCCTTAGTCAAATCAGGGCAATCAACTATAGAGACCTGGACATCAGCAAAGTTATCCTTTAGCCCCTTCTGCAGAACTAATAAAGACAAGGAAAAGGGTTATTGAACATTAGGTAAGAATTGTCACCAAATGAAACCATTCCAATTTTTTTGTCTCACACGTCCAACCTAAACTTACATAATCTAAAAAGAAAGGGAAATGGTCTTATTAATGAATATAGTTTGATGTTAGACACATAATTAATCACAAGATATATTGTAGACTAAGATACATAAATACAAGTATTTATAAATCATAGTGATTATAAACCACTGAAGATAAACACTGCACATAGGTGAGGACTTCCTTTTGTGGAGAATTTGAAAGACCTATTGAAATGTAAATATGTAAACTTAGAAAGTAATTAATTGCATGCAACAATTTTCTTAAAGCTTACAGACCAAATGTTGAGCAAAAGAAGCAAGACGCTATATGATTTCTCTTATATATTTCAAAAACAGGCAACTAATTGATAGAAGTCAGAATAGTGGTTACCTCTTGGGGTGGAAATATTGATGGGGAAAGTGCATGAAAGAGGCTTTTGGAATGCTGGGAACATAGATGGCAATGATATGGGTGTAAATATGTTAAAATTCATTAAGCTATACACTTAAGATTAGTGCACTTTACTGTAGATATGTTGTAACTCAATAAAAATATAAAAGAGCAAACATACGAGGTTGGACAATTAAGTTCACGAACTTGTAACAATGTTGCTAATCTTTTTGGTATCAGAGGGATTACTCATTATGAATTTGTACCAACTAGACAAACAGTTAATCAAATTTACTATTTGGAAGTGCTGAAAAGCCTGAGTGAAGTTAGACAACCTGAACTTTTCACTAAAAATTCATGGCTGTTGCATCATGACAATGCACCAGCTCAATGGCACTGTCTGTGAGGGAGTTTTTAGCCAGTAAACAAATAACTGTATTGGAACACCCTCCCTACTCCCCTGATCTGGCCCCCAATGACTTCTTTTTTAACCCGAAGATAAAGAAAATATTGAAAGGAAGACATTTTGATGATGTAATATGACAGACAACAGCTCTGATGGCCATTCCAGAAAAAGAGTTCCAAAATTGCTTTGAAGGGTGGCCTAGGTGCTGGCATCAGTGCATAGCTTCTCAAGGGGAGTACTTTGAAGGTGACTGTAGTGATATTCAGCAATGAGGTATGTAGCACTTTTTCTAATGAGTTTGCATACTTAATTGTCCGACCTTGTAGATGTCTCAAAGTTATAAATTTAAGAGTAATGTACTTTTAAGGATGAAAAGTTCCTATGAAAATTTCTCTGATAGTAGTGTCACCCATTAGTTTAGGTCTTATAGAATCAGACTCTCTAAAAACATGAAGTCATCCTAAATCTAGCCTTATAGATATTCCATACCAGATCTGTTGTCTATATAAGGAAATTAACCAAATCAACTGGAAAATTCCCCTATTAGTCTAGACTAATGACTATAGACTTATAAATAAGAATTAAGATTCAATGTGTGGAAATATACTAAAATCTATTTTTCACCAATTACGAAGGGATCAAGTTCTTGCTATAAGATATTCTATAAAAACTAAAAATAAATTTTAACCCAAAAAACATAGACTCCATTTCTATTTTGTAGTGAATATATGCTTTATATATAGAAGGAAAATAGAAACATAAGCACACAAGAGAAGAAAGGTATTCAAAGAAAAGATTCCTAGCTGTCCTATCAGGGAAGACAGAAAGACTGAATAGAAAAGAAATACAGTCAAAGAATTCTAGCAATACAGATTGTTTACTAGCTACCATTTAATTTAGGAAAAAATAAGGTTATAAGAGGAGAGCTGCAACCAAGCAAAACATTGAGTACACTCTTGACTTCAACCTGAGAGATGAACTACCAGGACAGATACAGTTTGAGAAATAAGGGTAGGTTTTATAGTTACCATCAGAATACAACCTAAAGGTTGTCAAATGTTTGCATTCTGACGGGCTATACAGTTTTGAATTAGTACTATTCCTGGCTTCGTTTTATATTCCTATTTTTATTTTCTATCTCCCTTCTAATTAATCTTGTGAGGCTGCCTTAAATTCTTGTTTGAACAAAGTGAAATACATAAAAAATATATGCATATGAGAGAAATAAGCAAGTTCATTGGCAATCTTATCATATCAGGAGAGGGGTAAAAAGTATATTGGGAACATGATTAAAACCACAGATTATATAAAGAATATTGTAACTGGTAAAAAGTTAATAAAGCAAAATTGTGCAACTCTTTGGGCATCATACATACTTAAATCTTGGATTATATTTACTTTCATTCTGTAAAGTAGGTATCTTAACAAGAACCTTCAAATAGTGAGTCTGCTTTTTTTGAAGGGGCAAAATCTTGGACTTTCTCAATTAAAATAGTACAGAACAGATCCCGAAATACTCTGTATTGAAAGTATTATTGCACAAATAATTTCTTAGAATATTTTTGGTTTGTAATTTTTTTCCTTAGAATAATTAAAAAAACTCAAAGTTAGTATTGTATTTACCTCCAACAAGCTCCTCTAAACTTGGCACATGAAAGGAATACTCAGCACAAGCCATTTTCTTTCTTCTTTAGGTGTCAGGATGTACAAATAAAGCTACTGTAGGCTAATTATCACAGGAGTTAATGGTGCAACCAACAGGGACAGTTGCTGCTCTGGAAATGAACATTAAGAGTTCAGTTATATTAAGAGGGCAAAAGGGCATTAGGGTTTCTGTCCTCACAAAAAGGCAACCACAGCTAGTATTTAATTCCAGGTAAGAAATGTCCAAGTAACCTCTTAATTCTGATACTTTAAAACAGTTGACATTTAAAGTTGAAAGACAACACAAAATGCAAACCAAGAGGGCACAAAGTTCATTTTCTTTAGTTACATATCTGGATTGAACACGGAGTTTCCTATTCGTTTGTGTAAGGAATATAGGTCCAGAAGCAAAAGGTAGTTACTGAGGTTTATGAATGTATTTAAATGGTTGCAGATAACAGTATAGGATGCTTAAGTACTTCTACAATAGATCATTTGTGTTTTCCATATTTGACATTTAGGTTAAAAATTAAGTTTCTTAAATTATCACTTTTACAAAAGAAAATTTAAGTTACTAAGAGAAATGGAAACTTCTACAAATGATTAGCTTTTGAAATTCAAATTACTTTCATTTACAAATAAACATACTTTCTTGGTAAGCAGCTTTAATGTTCAATTATTTTGATAACCTAACCAATTGTAACAATATTTTAAAAATATATGCTAAGTATATTTTACAATAAGTAGGCATATATACACAGAAATTAGTATCTTACCACAAATGTTCAGGTGATGAGGTATGCAAGCAGAGGGAGATAAATAAAATGAAGGCAAAAAAAAACCCAAACAAAAAACCAAAAGTAATAAGGTGGGTGGGGAATCCCACTCCAGGCCAGATGCAACAAGGAATAAAGAATAAAGGCAAAACTCTTGAGAGTCTCTCTAACAGCACTTTGGAGTTCTCATTAAAATTGTTAATGGAAAACCTCATTAATCTGAACAGTCTTTGGTACATGATTAACTTAGTAAGTGAAAGGTGACCTTTAGCATCACTGAAAAATTCTCTCAAAACTTCTTTTTAATTTTTCCAAAGATTCACAGGTTTGTTAGAAATTGGGTGTTAGTTCTGATGATAATTTCAACAATACATTCCCTACAAACATGCTATTGCATACATTTAGGGCTTGACATTTACTTTAGTACTTTATCAAATACCAACTTTTATTCTTTAATTACATATGCATAATCTGATCTCATATAAAATATAAACTGTTGATAATGGGCCCCAAGTCCTATATAATCATAATCCAATTTTCTCAAACATTTTTAATTGAATAATCTATAATTGTTCAGGAATTAGACATTTTAACTTTTGAAATAATTTCAGATGGACAGACAATACATAAAAATAATTTCTGTATACTTTTTACCTAGATTTCTCAAGGGTTAACATCTTACTATATTTTCTTTATAGAAACCAGCAAGTACTAATAAAGAACATGTCAAAATCTGTTCAGTGAATACCACATTTATAATGAGGATTATAAAAGCACTCGAGATATTTCTACTTTAGGAATAATAAAGACTCAAGTTTAAATTCAAACCTGATTTTACACCCTTTAAAAGAAAATCAGTTTTGTTTTTTTTCTTCCCCTAACCCACCAGAATAGAAACAAAGTCCAACCCTGAGGGGCTTCAGCCTAAATAATTGGTTTAGAAATGTAGAACTTCAGGCCCCCCAACATCCCAGAAGGCAGTATGGTAGTGTGTTTATAGTGTGAGTGGGACAGAGGAGGTTGGAGGTGGAGTGATGAGAGAAGGGGATTAGAAAGGTTCTAATACAAACTCAGTGGCCCCAGGAGGACAGCTTTGGGCCATAAGGAGGCATACAATATTTACTCTTCATATTCCATTGTTGGGAGTCAGTGGCCCAGAGATAGGGTCTAGAGCAGTGGTTCTCAACCTTCCTAATGCCGCGACCCCTTAATACAGTTCCTCATTTTGTGGTGACCCTCAAACATAAAATTATTTTCGTTTCTACTCTATAACTGTAATTTTGCTACTGTTATGAATCGTAATGTAAATATCTTTTTGTTTTCTGATGGTCTTAGGCGACCCCTGTGAAAGGGTCATTTGACCCCCAAAGGGGTCGCGACCTACAGGTTGAGAACCGCTGGTCTAGAGAAAGGAAGAATATGGAAATAGGCAGTTGGATAAGTGCAGCTGCAGAAATGCCTAAAGGGGTAAACCAACTATGGCAACCAACAGTTTATTAACTGTATATTATGTACCAGACACTGTTAGATACTTTACATTCTCCAAAACCTCTCACAAGCATGTAGATGTTATCCTTCTCATTTCATAAAAGAGGAAATTGGCTAAAGAGACTACATTATTGACTTGAGATCACTCAGCAATTAATTTGCAGAAACAGAATTCAAACCAAGTCCAGCCTACTGTAAAGCCAGAACTCATCATTTGATATGTGGGTTAACTGGTGAAGGAATGACACATTTCAACTCATAACAGGGAAGAATTTGTATAGAGTGATCTTACAGCACTCAGAATGTTAGGGGTAGATGTTGGAAAATCACCTCTGAGATTACTCATAGGGCCGGACGCCAAGGTTAAACTCTAATCAATAAAAACAACTGTCATGAGGGCTGAAAGACCACAAAGAAAATTGACAGGCCTAGGAAGTTCAGACTTAGACGCAGGCGATTTAAGTCTAGAATATGTCCTTTTCCTGACTGTTACTTTTTAGCATAGTACAAAACACACCCCTGGGAGATTTTATATGCTAATAAAACACACTACGCATGAAGCTGTATGTTAGAATATGTATGTCCACTATGCCTGCACAAAAAAGTAGTCATGTGAAAACAGCGGGCAGAAACCAGCAGTTTTCCCCGTGCAAACAAGAACAAAGAACTGAGAAATTTATGAAAGGCGGACTCAAAGCCCAGATGAGGAGCCACTCCAGTATGAGTTGTGAGCTCCCTTGATGCATCAAGCCATCTTCAGATTTTTTTTTTCAGGAAAAGATAGTTTATTAGAAGAAAAAATACATTTCAAAGAAGCAGAAGGGGACCCGAGCAGTAGAGAATGGCTCAAGGGCTATTAGAAGAGAAAGTACACTCCAAAGAGTTTGGAGCAGGCTGAGCAAAGGAAACTCGAAAGGCTCAAAAGAGGACAAGGCCAAGGGCCAGGGCCAGGGCCAGGGCCAGGGAGTCATTATTAGGAAAAAAAGTACACTCCAAAGAGTTTGAAGCTGGCCCTGAGCAGAGACAAGGCTCAAAACACTCAAAAGGCCGCCATCTTCAGATCTTTAATAAAAATTCTTTTCTCCTTTACTGACAACCTCTTATTTCATTATTTCTCTAGCGATTTCCATCCTGGGAGAACTGAAAACCCAACCCAAAAGTTGGGTAACAGGAGTATACCTGTGACCATCTGTTGCTCTGTCTCTTCCCCCTAGACCAGCGGTTCTCAACCTTTCAAAGGGGTCGCCTAAGACCATCAGAAAACACGTATTTTCGATGGTCTTAGGAACCGAGGCACCGCTCCTCTATCCATCTCCAGGCCCATATGCAGATACGCCCACATATGAGTACCCGGCGACCCCTGTGAACAGGTTGAGAACCGCTGCCCTAGACTGTGATCTCTGTAGATAGGACTGTGATCAGGCAGCATCCCATCCAGTAAGTAGAAGGGCGCTCCCAGGGGTTGTACAAAATGGAAGGTTTTTATAAGCAGAAGGGTGTGGCAGGCAAGTTACTAGCAAAAGAACAGAAAGGGTTATTTTTAGGCCAGGTCATCTTTTGGGGTAAAGAGAATGCCAGGGGGTTTATGAAGCAGATTACCTCACTATTTTAGATCAACATATTCTATATATACTGATTGCTTTAAAATTCCGCTCCTGGGAAGGGCTGAAATTGCAATTAGTTATTAGGCTTTGACTTGATGAATGGGCTTAGCAAAAGTGACTCCATTCTGTCTTGTTTCTTTTTCTAGGACTTCCAAGTGTGGAGCAAACAGTGGGCACCAATTCAGCTTTAACTATTTATTGAACATTAACAATGTACCAGACTCAAGGCTCGGGGACAGGGCTGGCTTCATGGGTGTGCAACTAGGGTAGTTACACAAGGCAATATGCTCAGAATGGCATTTGGTTTAACGTTCTGTTGTCACCATCTTGAAATTCTTCATGTTATATTTGAACTTTTGTTTAAGACTGATAGGACAGCGGAGCGTGCTTGGGATGAGAGGAGAGAGGCACAATGTGCACGCCCACCACCATTCCTAATTACCCCCATTCACATAGCATTAGTGAAGCCAGGTAAGCATAGAATTCTGGTGGACTGATGATCCATGGAGGTTTAGGACTCAAAGTCCCCAGATCCCATAGTACTGGTAGAGTGTACATCAAAAAGTAAAATAAATACAGGTGAGTTAGCATTTTCCACTGTTCTAGTAAGAATAGATGTTCACATGAGTTATGAAATATGAATTGTGAAATTTCAGTGATTCTGCATACAAGTTAAATGTCCTTATATGTGTATTTAAAACTGGCATTGCACAATATAAAGAATGGTAAAATTCATGCTAATAATTTAAATTTAAAATTTTTTCTTAAAGAATTAAATAGCAAATTGATGCTAATAATTAATAGCATAATTAATAACACAATGATGCTTTCAATAATAACAAACTTACACTTTTCCCCTGATTTTTGAACAAGGGACCCTGCATTTTCATTTTGTACTGAGCCTTACAGATTATATGGCCAGGCATGCTCCTGAATATGGCAGTAAGATATGCGATACCTGTCCCGGAACTTACAGTATTTCCTAGACTGGAAATGCCTGAAGGATTAGACTTTTTATGCCTGGGATTGTTCAATATTTGGGGCAAAACTGAGTGAAGAGACCAGATTACCTTCCATGTCTGTCCAATCCTGAGATGACACTAACTATAAACTAAAACTAGACCGCTTTACTGCTTTATCTTATGATAAAAGAGGTATGAAAGTGGACAAATCAAACCAGCTAATTCCTTTTTGTAACTACTTTGGGGGAAAAAAACCACCAAAAGTAAGCTAGTTTAAGCTGTTTTAACACTCAGTAACTGCTCCGGGAACTAAGGGGGAAAAACTGAGGGGAAAAAATTGTTTTCTCTTGTGATATGTTAATCACCTCCTGGGAAGCTGACCCTCAGTTTGAAGTGAAAGAGGGAGCTAACAAGTCCAAAGGTGGAGAGAGGGATTGGGTGTGCCATGGAGTAACACTGGCTTCTAGTACAAAGGTTACATATTTTGGGTAATGGTCAAAGCATGCTCCTTTCACAATTTAACAGAGAACATTTATTTGAAGACAAAAGTAGATATAATATGACAAGACACACTCGGCACCACACACACACACCCCTATACACACCGTGGACCACAGCTCAGCAAACGCGAGACCACCGGAAACAAATCAGGCTGAGTAGCTGTTTCCTCTCAGTTCGCATCCATTCCGTTCACTTGATCCCACAATTTTTGTCATTTGCTGAAATGCTCTCTGCTGTTCCACTTACCAAATGGGTTAGGGAAACATGCACCTGAATCCTGCCTCTGTCGACTCCGCCTCCTCTGTGTTCCCTAAGGCTCCGCCCACTTTTAATCGCCCCTCCCCCCCGGGATCAAAATGGCGTCTGCTCCCGCCTCTCTCTTTCCGGAAGTAAACCGTTATCGCGAGATTTCGGCCCCATTATTAAGTGGGTCGCGCGGTTGGTTCAGCCTTTTGCTCAGCGGTCGTCGGTTTGTTGGAGAACTGAGCCCGGAAGGTTGCTGAGGCCTGGGGTACGGGGTGCGAGTACGCTGCCGAGTCCCGTAGTGAGCCGCTCCTTGGTGTAAACTGACTTCCCGCCTGGATTGGTAAGGAAGAGAACGTGTCCGCACGGGTCTGGCTGGTCAGGGAGGGGTTGCTTTTCTAGCTTTTCCCGGGACCCTGTTGAGGGTGGAGGATCGAGCGGAAGAAGTCAGGCCTTGAGGGTGGAAGGCTCGTGGGTGTCGTGGGCGTGATCCATTGTGTCAGGGTTGTAGATGTTAAAATGTAGACAAACACAGGTATGCTGAGTTAATTAGTGCGAAGTAACAATTTACGCCATTTCCCATGCTCGAGGTTCGGTCCTTCCTGGAGACACGCCCCAAGGTCACACATGGTAAGTGGCTGATACAGTGCATTATCTGGCCACGTGGCCTCTCACCACAGAATCTTGGAATGCAAAGCGACTCTTCAGTAGGAATGCTTTTTACACAAGTTTCCGAAAAAGTGGCTTTTGAGTTAACTCCACTTTATTTAACCTCAAGAATGCCAGCAGTGTCTTAGGGCCCAAATTTTGTTGAATTTTGCTATTTTATCCTAAGATTCCTTTCATCTTTACTTACTTGCCATTCGCAGGTATACAAAAGTGGCAGAATGATAGCATCCTCTATAAGATGCAACATTAAGTTAGATGTTATCTTTTGTCAATGAAAAAAAACGTTTAGCCTAAGAGAAAGCTTATAAGAATTTATTTGAAGACAGTTGCCAGGAAGCAAAGTCTCAACGGATTGAGAAAATGCTCCGAAAAATGGCCTTTGTGCAACTTATACATTAGAATCAAGGGAGCAAGTTTACATGAAATTACATTGGTTTGTAGATGGGGGGGAGGGGAGGGTGGAAGAAAGCAAAGCGGGGGAATCTCTGGGATTGGATAAAAAATAAAATAGACACACACCACTTTTACAAATTGGTGGGTACAGGATAGTTAATAGTATTTTACAGCACATAGAGATGGTATTTGGGGAACAAGATAATAATGAGGGATTTTGTAGATTCCTGCTCTGGTGTGATGGGTTGTGCCCTCTGGGGGGAGGGAGAGGTCTGGAAAAAGATTACTCTGATATTGCAAGAGTATGTTATCTTAGATGCAAAAACAGGACAGACAGTTTCACTTAAGGTAAAGATTGACCTTTGTTAAGCTACAGGCCAAGGATGTGACTACCAGCCACGACTTGCTTTTAATTAGGAATTATTATGTTCAGAGGGTCTTATGTGGTTATTTGTCAGTCTCCTGAGCTTGTTAGGTTTAATATGTCACCCCTTTTCCATCCACACTTTTTGAAAAATTATTTTGTCCAAAGTATTGTAAAATCTTCCAAGGAGATTTCTTAAAAAGACAAAGGGCACCATTGAGTCTTAGTCTTTTTTTTTTTTATTTTAGCTGAGCCATCCTGCTACCTGTTGGCAGCTCAGCGGCTGCTCAGCTCGGGCTGGATTCGAACCGCTGGTGCTCAGAGCTCAAACTCTTGAGCGAGCTCTTAACCAACTGAGCCACTCAGCCGGCCCGAGTCTTAGTCTTTAATTGAAAAGTTTGAGAATTCAGAACTTTTTAATTAATACCCATAATGGCAAAGATAATGTGTCAGGAAAGAAGTTTAGGTGATTTTGATGAGTCCTACGTAGTATGAATGGAAAGAAACCATAAATGAAAATTCCAGACTAGGAGTTGAAAGTGTGGTGTGTTGGATGAAGATAGTAAATTGTGATTATTTTTCCTGGTATATTGAGGCCACGATTTGCCTTCTTGCTTTGTATAAAAAAGTTTTTCCTAGGAGTTCCTTTCTGCTCTTGGGAAATGGCTTTTGGGCCACTAATTGTATGTTATACTCATAATTGTACATTACTATATGGCTAATGGTGAAATTATACTTTTTACTGTTATGGGAAGATGTTTGATATTTTTCTTGGGAATGACAGTACTTTTCTAGAATCTTGTTCCATTGGATAGGTTTGGAGACAACTTGTGAATAAAATTCGAGATTTTAAAATTTTGATCTGAAAAGGATGCTTCCTAAATGAAAATATTAAAGGCCTGCAAATGATTTTTGCCTTTACATAAAATGGCATAACCTGACTACATCAGATTTGGCATTCTTCGATATTAGCTATTTGTGCTGGCATTTATTTGTTCAGGGAAACTACATACATATTTTTTATATTGTCAGAAGCTTGGTTAAAGCAAATAACAAGTGACGGATAAAACAATTTTGAGAGGGAGTTGGAGAATACATCAGGAATGGATTCTCTTGACTATGTAACAGCATCTGATTCATCTATGGAAATAGAAAATCAGAGGTAAGTGCATTTTTTTGTATCAATCACCAGTGTTTTTACTGGAAAATAACTAGATTCGATGATAATGTTTACTGTATTTGAATTACCAGGAAAGCATCAATCATTGTAGATGAGTGGTAACAGTAATTTTCAAGAAGTAGGAAAGAAAAGAAAAACCTGGTTTACACAGACCTTCAAAGCTTATCTACTTATATAGTTAATAGTGGGATAAATTCTTACTTAACGCAGGAAAATGAGTGTATTCTCTGGGCCAACTTAGTATCTCTTGCTGACTAAATAACTAATTTTATAACAAGAAAATGGACGTCAGTGGGGAATCTTGCTTAAAAATCAGCTTGACTCCCGATATTGCAAGGATGCTGGCTTATGTCTTTGATGGTGGTGTCTCCTTACTGCATCCATTGTTTTCACTGGGAAATTAAATCAGCATTTCTAGTATCTTCACATCAGATACCTACTAGGCAACTCTTATTTTATTTAGAGGCTTTATTTAAAGGAGCCTCCAGCAGTGAACAAGACTGCCTATGTAGAACTTGTAGTTCTCTTGGAAGATTATTTGGTGAGTGCTTTGGCATTTGGGGCCATTTTAAAGTAGATGGTCAGAATTAGGTGGTTGGCTAGTACTGAGCCCATCTTTAAAAATTGTCTTGAACATGTTTTCCTGCTTTGGTGGAAGAAAAGTACTTTACTGGTAATAAGCATTGTGTTATATATAGAGGATGCAATTAAGTTTCCCCTTTTTTTTCTAGTGATGACTCTTCCTCTGGTAGCAGCTTATTTAAAACTCAGTGTGTTCCTCACTCACCTAAACGGAGGCAAAGAAACACTATTAGAAAGTTGGTTCATTCACCTGAAAGTGTTCAAGCAAGAGATTCATCTAGTGACTCATCTTTCGAACCAAGACCATTGACTTTAAAAGCTATATTTGAAAGATTCAAAAAAAAGAAACGTAAAAAGAGGAAATATAAGCCAACAGGAAGACCAAGGGGAAGACCAGAAGGAAGGAAAAACACTAGAAGGTCACAAATAAATAAACAATTTGAAGATAAAGGACGTGGGTTCCCATTTTTAGAATCAGAAAATGGGAGAAAATCACTACCTTGGAGAAAAATTTTAAGCTTTGAGGTGAGTCAGTATTTTACATATGTGGATACACCATAGCAAAAGCACCTGCGATGATTTCTTGGTCACTTAGATTTTGATGTACCTGACTTACTGCCACTTAAAAACCACCCCATTCTTCAGCTCAGACTTCACTTGGGCTTCTGGGTAGAATCTTCACTGGTATATTCAGTGCCTACCTATACATGAAGTGCTCCAAGGCTGTTGATGTAAAATCCCTTGATCTCATCCTATCAGGTTTTCAACATCCCTAAAACTCAGATGATTCCCAATTGTACCCTAGGTCAAACCCACGCCCACCTTTCATTTTGATGTTGAGTAACTTTCATAAATTTGATTTTCTTACAGATACTGAGTATTCAGTTTTTGACAAAATTGCCTAATAAATACCCTAATATTTAGCAGAAAACTCAAATATTTGAGTTAATGTTTGTATAGTTAACTTATGATCCCTTGATCTAGTATCTGATTTATTTGTAGAGATTAATACTCATTAACCTTTTATGTTTTAAGGTGATTATAATAAACATTAGAAATTGGTTTTTCTCTGCAGTTGAGTGTCTTTAGACTTGTGCTTGTTTTTCTTGGTACCAACTTAGGTAAGTCTGCTAACTTGATAGGTAGCATTGAATTCTTTTACAACCAGCATTTGATATATTGCATGCGAGCTGCATGTGGCAGAGTAGTTAAATCAGGATCACTAAGTTCTTGGTAAGGTGTTCCTTGCCATTTTGGAACATAGGCATCTGCTGAGTGATCGAGGAAAAATTTATTTTGTAACGCCATGACTTAAAAATATGGTGGTTTTGATACACAGCAAGCAGTGGCAAGAGGATTTTTCAACTACCTTGAGAAACTGAAGTATGAATACCACCTGAAGGAATCCTTGAAACAGATGAATGTTGGTGAAGATTTAGAAAAAGATGACCTTGATAGTCGTAGATATAAATACTTGGATGATGATGGATCCATCTCTCCGATTGAAGAGTCAGCGTAAGTTTAATCGTGTGAAATGATTTTGGTCATAGATTTTACCAATTACATTTTAAAGTTAATTGCTCCATATAATGCTACTTGTTTATACTTTAACAGTGATGTGAGCACAGGATCAAGGAGCTTGGCACATGACATTCATTTTGGGGTGTTATACATGACAGCATAGTTTTTCTCCTTGACTAGAATTGCTACTTAAGTTGTATGTCATAGCAGTATACTATTAATTGGACTATAGAAGATTTTGTCATCTGAGTGATGGTATATTTAATATTACAGAGGAGAGGATGAGGTTGCAACGAATCTTGAACATGACGATGAATGTGATATTAAATTAGTGGTAAGTGACATCCCATTTCATTTTGGAAGGGCAGCAGTTGGTAAAGGAAGAATTTTATCCAGTAGTTATTGTCTTATAGTCTTATTTAATTTTTGAAAGGCTCAATGCATTTGGTGCAGGGAATGCAATAAGAAATATGAATTTTTGGGACAGTTGGTGAGAACATGGACTTTTCAAATCTGTTAAATTTTAATATGTGGTGTTTGCTACTAGGATATCAAATGAGTAAATAAAAGTTAACTTGGATTTTTATAATGTAGATGTAGTCTTCAGGTTATTTGAAATAACTACAGCTCAGTTATGTGTAATTACTAAGGCAATCAAGTTTTAGTTGCTGCTTAATACTGGTATTTTTTATGCAGGAGGATAATTATTTCATAGTAAGTTCTGAATTCCCAAAGAAGATGAAAGTATATTCAGACCAAGAACACAGTGAAGAGACTGCTGTGTTTAAAAAGAGTATCAAGTCAAAAAGCATTGGACAGAAGACAGAAAGACCTGAAAGGACTATAATAATATGAATGTCAAACAAGGTAAATAGAGAAAAAGAAATCTTACAGAAGGAAAGTAAAGATAATGTGAATACATATGCCAGCACAGTGATAAAAACCTAAGGAGAAAACAAGAACCTGAACAAATTTGTTAAGGAAACTGCTAAAGAATAAGAAGTATTAGGAAAATAATTTTAAAACAATGAAGTTATTATGTATAAAAATTTTCACAGAAGAAATGATCACTTAATAAATAGGGTCCTACTGTTTTTGCTTGTATTTACTTATTTCAGGATTAAAAAACTTAAACGTGTCATTTAAGCATTGAATTAAAGAAGTATATAGAGATTGTAATCCTAAGAAGAAAATTTTAGTTACAGTAATCATGAATGCTTGACAACCAACCACACCCTCATTAGGATATCTGAAATCCCTACTGTATTTTTATCCCAGTTTTATTCAGACAAGTGACCTTTATTGTCAGATGTTTAGTACTGTAATGAAAACTCAACGAATTTCCCTTAACTGTAATATTTCAACTGCCACTTTTTGTCAAACCATTGTATACATTGTATTTTACAATTGCACTTGTGTTTGTTTTTGTTTAATTTGTAGTCAAAGACTTACAGATAAGTGCAAAAAATAAATCCTCTTTTGCAACCCAGAACTCATCGTTCAGTATGAGTTTTGATACATATAAGAAGGAACATGATACCAAAGACAGATTAAAGTGACCGGGAGCATTGATAAACATGAAAGTTGGTTCCAGGACTATAGAATTAATCATTGAAAAGCATAGGATACAAGGGCAAGAGGTCTCAACTGTATCGATTCAGTATTCTAATTTTAATGTTGACATGAAACAAAGATGCCTTCTTTTTTATTAGGGTTTTATCTTGAGAACACAATGTCTGGACTTAAAAGACATAGGTGAGTTCTTGGATCCGATTTGTTTAAACGTAGCACATTCTCAGATAATCTAAACCTCTGCATGTTTCATTATTAAAGACATTTTGCTAACTTTTAATTTATGATATGACTTCAGAAAATCTTAGGAGTCACATTTTTTTATAAGATTTTATTGGGGAATTGGAAGGGAACACACAAGTTGCTGTCCTTTTGTTCTTAAGTCTAGTTGTGGAGGACGTGGCTTCATTGGCCCATGTTGGTATTATCATTGCACTCTTTCCAGGGGAGGCAGTCGCTTGCCGGCCATTGGATGGTGGCTCAAAGTAGCTTACAGGAACCCACTGCTGCCTCCTCACTGCAGCCTACACCGTCGCCAGCGACTCATGGCAGCCCCACTCCAGGTCGAGCTTTTGTTCACAATCTGTGCTGTAGAGAGCACAGCATCGCTGGCCCTAATGTGGGATCCAAACTGGGGCCCTGCTGCTCAGAGCTGGTGTCCAAGCCAACTCTTAATCCCAATGTGCCACTGGGCCAGCCCAGGAGTCACATGTTTTATGTTGATACTGTGCCAGCTTCACTTCACTTGCAGGAAAGGGTCTGAAAACTAAGTTAGGTTATAGCAATAATCAGAAACTTGGGTGTTGCCACTTTAGGTATATAACTATTTTTAATTAATGCCTAATGCAAATTGAGGTAGATTTAATATTGTAATGTTAGAAGACTACATGGGACATAAGATTTCAAAATTTGAATGTCAATTTTTAATTAAAAAGCCCTGATTTGTCTTACAGTGATTCCCAAACAGGACATAAATATCGCCACAGTGAAATTTTTCTGTATTTTTATACTTGCTTTCAAGTAAGGAGAAAATATATAGCTTTTGAATTGTGAGGCAAAAATTCAGTTAAAATTTTGCTGTATTTTGGGAATTTCATAGGTAAAACAATGCAGTATTGAAGTTCATAAAAATCAAGACTTCAGTTTATACATGGAAATCTTTCCCTTTGGATTATCTCTAGTAGCTACTTGATATTTTACATGTTTTGATTGTCAGGATATACTTATATGTGCCATTGTTAAAAATCTTTATATGATGATTTAAGTTCATTTTAAATGGGTGGATGTTACTAGTTTTGCACAATTTTGAACTCATTAAAGAGGCTGGAGCAGATCACAATTCTAATGTCTTTCTGTGGAGCGTTGTTTATATCTTTTTAAAAGTGTAAATAATGGTTGAGGTCTATCCCGATGGGGCTTTTTCTGTAGACCTACATCGTTGGAAACGCCTCATAGAGTAAATACTTGCTTTCTTTTACTCACAGAACTGTGTGTTAGATCTGTGGGAAGGAACGGCAAGACAGCTGCTAAAACCATGAAAGGCCTAATATAGTTAATTTTTTCTGTCTTAGGTATTGGTATATCCCAGTGATCTGTACTATTCTAGGGTGTGATAGCTTAGGTAAGTTTAATTGGTGACAGTATATTCTTGCATTGCCATTGCAGTTCAGATGATGAATTTAACTGTTCAACTGCTGGATGATACAGACATGAACTAAAACTTAATTCTGACAAAACTGAACATAGCTCTGTAGGTTCTAGTTTTTAATCACACACTTGTCAATCTTTTATTCGGTATTTTCTTTGTAGGAGTGAATATGAGTTGAACTTAATCATGTTTAGAGGTGAGTGGAATATTAATTGAAATTTATTAAGTATTCTGAAAAAAAATGTAAATTGTGAGTACAGTAAGTCCTCAGTGATGTTGAAAGGTTCTGCAGCTTGAAGCAAAATGATGTATAAGGGAGCCATTTTTACCACAGGCTAATTGATAATAAACAAGAGATTAAGTTCCTATGTCATCTCCTCAGGGTTTCAGGGAGTATTGAACAAAAGGATATTATTCAAGGAGCTGCTTCATAGCATTCCATGAGTAGTGTTTATTTAGGTATAAAACAATTGTCAAAATCTTGGCAAAGTATTTTTCCTAATATTTGCATTTATACACATAATTGGCTTAAAAAAAGAGACTTCATGTTTGGGCCTACCAAATGAAAATGCCCCCTTTTTGCACTTATTAAACTGACAATTCCATATGGTTGATCCTAATTACATGTATACTTGGATATATTAAAACAGCAAAGGAATTTACCTAATAACCGTTTGAGCAACTGGTCTTCATTTCTACTGCAGAGAAAGATGGTGAGATGACGAATAGGTTTATAATACAATTAATGTGATTGCCTCACTGAAATGACAATTAAGGATTAAAGGTCAAGTTATTTTACCTGTTATATGAACTTAAATTTTTAGAGACTTGTGTGAGAATAAGTTTATTTTGGAAACTTGAAGTAGGCGTTCACAGTTCAGTCGCGATTGCACTGCATGGTATCTGCATTCAGCAGTTTCTTCCTGCTGGGTGTTCAAAGGACAGTGCGATATAAATTCAGTATGTGGCATCGTTGGTTTTCTTGTCTTCGTGCATGTGAAACCTGGTATTTTTATTGATACAGTATTCCTATAGTTTCTCATTCTGTTCAGTTTGACGTAATCTTCAGTAGGAATTAATTTAAATGTTTCTCTATTTCTAGGGTGTCTGAAATGAACCATGTAGAGCCATCTACTCTGACCCCAACCGTGTAAGGCTTTCTCTTTATTGCTTCTAGGAGCTTCTTTATTGATAGCATGTATCAGCAGAAACTTGTATACAGAAGCCTTTTGCATGGTGTACATAGAAGTTTGAGAAGAACTTTTCTAAAGCCTCATTCTAGATAAAAATGGGCACTGTTGTTGTTCATGGTGTCCGGAAATTAATGTGGCTACATTGAGACACAGGTTATGCTTCCATCACAGTGAGTTTATTGCAGTGGTGACAATGAGACCTGTAACATTGTTTGCTAGGCTCAGGGAGTAACATCTGGATGTAATATTAAAAGATTATAAGACTTAATATTAGAAGCAATTAAGGAATAATATATTTTAGATCATTTGTCAAAATAGCAATGTACTTAATTTCTAGGGCCTTAAACTGCTTGAAGAAATTCATTCCCAGTGATGATAGGTAAGATTTTAATTTATTCCCTCAAATTCCTTCCTAGTCTATAGGAAGGGATTAATGTTGAATTAACTTCAACATTAATGTCCTTGCATATATTTATCTAATTCTTCTAGCAGCCCATCCTGGTGGTTTATTATTACAAAAGATTAGATGTTAAATAGGCCTCTGTGTGTTTGTACTGTTGACCAGCTTGATGTTATGATGATGGGCAAAATGTTCAACTGCTCTGAATGGGCTGAATGAGAAGAGCCTTTCTGAACATCCATCTACATTAAATATGTGCTACATTTTAAAACATGAAAGCTTTAAGATAAAAGTTCCCTAAAACATGCATGTTTCCAAATAGCTGCCTTTGCAGTTAATGATCGGAGAGCATTTCATATCAGTTCAGTTGTTAATGGAAATAGATAAAGTAAAATTTACTTTAAATGAATTGGATTGAAAAGATGCTTTATTCCAACTATTTGCAGTTTTAAACCTGGAATTTTCAATACATGCTAGTTGGGAACTGGGTTTCAGGATACTTTAGAACCTGATAATCAACCTCATTTTTTAAAATTTAGTCCAATATGAACTTTAAAATCTTTCTCCATAGGTGGGGGGTTTTTGAAATATGTCCATATTCAAGTGGAGATCAAAGAAGCCCAACTAAAAGAATTATGGCAAGTTAATTTGTCCTGATCTTACCATACCAAATTAGTTGTCAAAGTATAATGGTCATTACCAAGGCTTTTAGAATGCAGTTTCTCATTTGCCGTGGACATGACCACAAAACATTTTTCCCACTAGGTTTTTTTTCTTTCTGCTACGTTGCTAGCATTCAGCCTATTGGGAACATTTTATTAACCCTTGTTTTATTTATATTGCCTAGAGCAGACTGTCCAATATAAATAATACAACCTGTATGTGATTTTGTAATAGCCACTGGAAATCAGCAAGCTTTTACAATAGCCATAGCTCATGGTTGTTATATTGAATAGTGAGTGCCTACATCTGTTGAGTCATGCAGATGTCCGTTGTCTAATCCTTTTGGGTGCTAGTTTGATGTGATTACATGATCATCTCTATTCCTGTTATATAGGACTGACAAAGTGACATGACAACTATGGATTGAGCAAAAATTGTATTTAAAAGGTATGTATACATTGAAAAATAGAAAACTTGATAGGTCATTTCAAAGAGAGCTTGTGGGATCAAAACCAGAAGCTCTTAACGCTGTGACCAAAGACTGAAGTTCTCCATAGGATGTAATAGTCACTCAATAGTGCTATGTTTTCCTGAGGAGATATATAATATCAATGAACGGTGATATGGGAACGTAAGTAAATGTCTCCCAAGTTTAACCACTGCCTACTTTTCTTTTTTAGGGATTACGACTCAAACTCAGGAACTAAGGCAGTGAGTGGAAGGAATCACAACATGGGGAATTCCTTAAATAAAAATTTATTAACTTTAAATAATTGTATGTATGTTACACATAATAAAAAAACTACACTTTCAACAAAGTCAGCATGTACTTTTGGCTCGAAGTTTCTCTAGTGTTTTCTGTGGAGAGAAGAAAAACAGGATTGACCAGTTAACAGTTATGTTGTGCCTTTGATAAGGAAAATTGTAAGGGAACCCTGCTCACCTTGTGAAATTCTTTTGCCCTTGCTCTGTTTTGGGCATAAGCTTCTTGCTTTGCTTTCTCTTCCTTTTGCTGTTTTACTTCAGCTAATTGATTATATAACCTGTAAGAGATTTAAATGGAATTAAAGACGGATGTTTCAGAAATGTGGATTACTATTGATACATATGTACACACATACCTGAGTGCCCTTTGGCGCATGAGGGCTTGTGCAGTCTTTCTGTCTTCAGGAAGGGACACTCTGTTCACACCTTTTAGGCAACTCACAGATGAACCTAAGCAAAGAACAAGTAATATGATATGCCAGATTCTCCTTCTGAAACAGATACAAGTGTTTTGGGGAACATACCTGTAGAAGACTTCCCCTTAATTATTTTGCTTTGAGAATTTTCAGAAACACGAATTTTACTCCTTATTTCTTTCTGTCTCTGGGAGGATCTCTCTATAAACGATTTTTTTCTCTTTACAAATGCTTCTTGTAAGCTCCCTGGTACAGGTATAAACTTGGGAAGGGTTTCTGTTAAAACAAAAATGAAAGCTATTTTCACCTCATTCAACTTTTTTAGGCCAGCAATATACAAGATGGTAGGGCTCCTACTCAAATGTAGAAGCTGTGATTTGAGTGGGGAATTCCCAGTAGCCCCTGGGTTCACTAACAATTTCAGATCTCAAGGCATACCTGTAGATAATGTAGTCTGCTGCTCCACAGAATGCTCTGATACAGCTGAAAAATCTGAGGTTTCAGTTTCTGGTGCGAGAGGCATAAATTCACTCACCTAATTCCAAGAAAGTCATAGGTGAATTTACCACTTTTCACCTTGAACAGCAAAGGCTGTAAATCCTTACCAGATTCTCTCTAAACTCTAGTTCTCTTTGGTGGACAAAAAGGTGTGCTCTCTGGGGATGGGATGGAGGGAGAGTGTTGAGTGACCCCTCATTTATTTATTGGAACATAGGTATATGTCCAATTGACTTGGCTCCCATGCTCATTTGTTCACTGCTTTGTGCTGCCCTCACAGTTGTCTAATAGCTTTAAGATTGAATTTTCTAGGAAGGGAAAGTAATAAATGGTTTTACTCCTACCAAAAGTGCTTTATTTGACCAGCAGTACTAGAGAACAGTTAATTACCCTTTACCCAGTCTGCTTTTCCATCCTACTCCAGCCAAAAGCTTTTCCTTGTCTTTAATTGCCTAACCTTCCAAACCGTCCCTACTGTATCTTCACTACCCTTGTCAGTAATCACAAGAACAATTACTAGAGCTGAATTCCATAATTTGGCATCAGGCTACAAAAATTAAAGACTCATACAATCAATGAATTCATCCTAGAGTCCTTACTAAGTTAGAATTACATTCACAGCAGTTCTCTTCAATGACTACCTTAAAAGAATTGAAATGAGCCAGGCAAATATCAAATAGTTTTCTTGTAGTGGAAAAAAGTACAGGGAACATGCAGTCAATAGAATTTGAAATACACTTTTTCACTTCAAGATTGAAAAGTGAAACTTCAAAGCAATAAAACACCTCAGTCTGGATTCCTTGCCTATCTTCTAGAGCACCTCTGCTGCCACAGCTTTGGAACAAATATCTTTCACTGGGGAATGGAAGGCATGAATTCCAAGCCAAGTCTGAAATCGACTACCAGAAATACATGTGTTTAGGACCATGTTCCTGGGGGTTTGAGAGGCCTTTCCTGTCAGCTGTCAATTTTGGCTGTGAGCACATTAAGCCTCTCCTGTTCACTGTAGATTACTGCAAGTAAGTGCAGTATGGGGAAGGAAATTAGTTTGCAAATAACCTTAATGGGAGAAAAATGCCATGTGGAAAGAAAAGTGAAGACGTCTATTCCCAATTCTCAGCTATAGGTGGCTGTACAAATGAAGTGTATATTAGAGAAAATTTACCTGAAAGCTTGTTGCTTCATTGTCTCTCTTTTCTTCAAGGGTTAAGTTTGCAAAATCCATTTCAGCAATACTGATATCACTGGTGCTTACTAATGTGAGTTCTGGTTCTTCCATTATACCATGGCCAGACTCTGTCTCCTGTGCAATAAAATTAAAGGAAACCAAAAATAGCCTTAAACATTAAAAATGTGAAAATGTACATTATGGAGGAAGAACAGAGACCAAGGTAGTACACCCCCACTTTCATAAATACTGGGGAGGGTTTAGGGATGGGTGAAATAATATAATTGAATATATCTTTTACAAGGATTACAAATGGAAATGCTCAGATTAAGGGCAGGTTAACGGGGGGTGTGCAGAACCACAGGGTGGATCCTATCTAAAGGGAGCAGCAGCTGTTGGGTTGCAGCCAAATGGAGGCCACTGCTGCCAGAATAACTTTTTAAGGGAAATACCATCTTTTATTAAATATCAAACGAGAATTCGCAAAAAAAAATCCAAAAGCAGCCAAATCACATCTGTAGTCCAGATACAGCCTTTATTTTCCATCTAGTACAACATTCTTATTTGTAGGACAACACTAGATTCAGGTGACGAGTTGAAACCAAGCAGATTAATTCAATGCAGTGCAATGAGGTGAGGTTCAGCACTGCTGAAGCACTGGCCGCCCCCATTCCTCGGCGGAAGCTGGAGCAGGGATACATGAATGGGGCGGAAATATCTTTTGTAAAATTCAGATATCGAGATTTCCAGTGATTACAATACTGACTACCTCAGGTATATCAACAAGAAGCCTTGTTCCTCTTGAATTTTGTTTCAAAAGTATTTCCGGAAAATGAATTTAAACGTTATTTATACAACAGATTCACTTACCCAGACTGGAATGGAGCTCTGTAGTGAAAACGATCCAGAACTTAAAAACAGCTCTGACTGTGATAGCTGAGACTGATTTCGTATGGTTTTTGGAGTTTCTGTTTTAGTTGAGTTCTCAAAATATTTTTCATTCTGGGGAGTTAATGAATATGGTGTCTGAGTTGAAGTTCCCATTTCCACTGTTCCTACACATAATTGTGAGCCAATTTCCTGTATGTGTGGATTTATATTTAAAACCCCCCGGTTTCCATTTTCATCATCTTCAGCAAGTCCTTGACTTGGTAGCACTGTATCAACCCCCCTTTCTGATAGTTCTTCAGAGGCCAGTCTTTCCTTCCTGCCTTCTAGTTGGTCTTTCTCTGAGCATTCACTAGAGGTGGAACCACACGGAGTGCTATGCTGTAGATTTAACTGATGAAACACATTAGCTTCACCAGATGAACTCAAGACTGAGCTTTGCAGATTTCCTACAGAGAGCTGAAAATGAACACTTTTTTTCTTATTTTGTAACATTTCAGTCTGTTCAGGGGCGTAGTTCTGATTTTCCATGCCTTGGGAAGATGCTCTTGCTTCAATGCTAAAAATACTTGGTAGATCAGCATGCTGGCTTCCCTCCTGTGAAGAAAATTCTGGCAGAAGTTGTTGAAAAGATTGTTCAGATCCTGCATTAAGAAGTTTAAGAAATCAGTTAATCATCATGTTATAAAACTTGGATACAGATACATACAGTCCCTAACAGTTTGAGGACATTGCAAAGGTGACTTCCTACAATTTTAGGAAAGCTGATGTATGTAAACATGAATAGAAAGCTAAGGATGGTCAGCAATTTTCAAACTGCTCACACCATGTAGTTTCACCTATATTATTTAACTCAAAATTTGGCTATTAGACACAATGAGGACATTTTCCCCCCGTAAGAGAAACAAATACTGATTTTGTAATAACAGAAGGACTTAGGTTAAAACGAGCATGTGCATCTTGTGTATGTGTGTGTATAAAATTTGTACAAAAAGATTTAGAAGGGTCCTTAACTGTTAAGGTGAAGGTAGGAAAGCTGAGCAAGAGGCAGCATTTTTGTTTTTTATTTTATTAAGTTCACCACTGTGAAAATGCAAACTGAGCACACATTACCTCTGTTATTTAAACAAATACAGAAACAACCTGTAACTCAGGATGGGTGAGGACAGGAACGGAGGACTTATGGGATAACTGAAAATATCTTCTGCAAGGATTACAAACCCAGATGCTCACAGGGCTAAGAGATAATACAAGTGCAGGGTAACGGGGGGCTGTGCAAAACAGGCTGGGTCCTACCTAAAGGAAGCAGCAGCTGTTGGGCTGTAGCCAAATGGAGGCCACTGCTGCTAGGCACAATTTGCAAGAAAAAAGAATGTAAACAATTAAGAAAAAATGTACTGGATTTTAACTTTTTCTAACTTAATCATACATACCCTCAACAATGCTTCCTGTGGCAAAACTCTGAGCTGCAGTTTGAGCCACCTTAGGGTCAGGTTGCTGATTGAGGCTTGTGTTAGGAGAACGCAGGCTGGTCCTCCTTAGTGCTATAAAAGAAGCTGTGCTTTTGGATGATATAGGTGCATGATGGCTTTCACATGAAGAGTCTGAGCTCTGATGGAAAACAGCAGGGAAATGCTGAAATACTGATTATGCATTACAAGTTGAGTCAATAGGCATTATTGATATTACTCGGGTATTACTCTTCCTTACTTGCCACTCTGCTATCACACTAATAATTGCTTATTCAAATCCAATTCTTCCATTTCAGTCAACATGAGATTTTGTAAAAAGATTATTTAGAAAACAAACTGAATTAACCAGACTAAGTTGAGAACATGATGAAGTTTTCTGATAAGCGGGAACTATGTACAGCAGTCTTGGATGTCAGGATGTGGAGTAGAAAGACCCAGGCTGGAATCTTAGCACCTTTACTGCATACAACGAGACTTTAAATTTTACAAAATTGTATTTATCTGAACTGTTTAAGGCTGAATTTCATTCAAGTAAAACAAACAAAAATATAAAAGCAAACAAAAATATTCTCAAGCCTTTTATGGGTCATACTAGCTGGACATAAGGCTGACAGGACAAATTCTAATGCAGCTATTTTCAATCTTGGTTCCACACTAGAATCACTTGGGGAGCTATAAAAATAAATCCCGCTATCTGAGCACTCCTAGAGATTCTGATTTAATTGGTCTAGGGAGCAGTCTGGGCACTGGGATTTTTAAAAGCTTTCCACACAATTCTAATTGGCAGCCAAAATTAACAACCATTGTTGTGTTCTAACAGCAGAAAGTTTGACAGACTTCTTGGAAATTCACTGCAATGAAGCACCTACTTCAATGTACCTGGTAAAAGTCTCTGCATTCCTGAGAAATCCCAGAGGATACTGATGAGCAATCAAAATCTGGATGTGGTTCTAAGGGTTTAAACAGCTGATGATGAAAGTTTGGAAAACTGTGTTCCAATTCTGGAAAGTCAAGGTCAGCTGTTGGAATTTTGAGAAAAAAGATAAATTTATTTTTAAAATAAAGCCTAGAAAAGTAGTATTAATAAATATTCCTAAAAGCTTACTTTTAGGTAACTAATTCAACAAAATTACTTCCATTTTTTTCATTATCAGATGTTTTCAAATCAAGTCCTATCATTATTTCTAATGTAAAAAAAATGGCGATACTCTCAAATGACTAAAACCATTGACAAATATGTCTCCATTTCTACCAGGCCCAAAGTCTTATGAGGTTAATTAGGAGTAAGAGGCCATTATGATCACTGCTTTGCTATAAGCTTTGTTATTCTCACTTAGCTCACTTCAGGTCAATAATTAAAAAAAAAAAGAAGCTCACTGTACTTGTTACTATGGGCAAGACATTATACTTTATGTGCATTATCTCATTTAATCATTAAGATCCCTCTTTTAGAAGATGAACAAGTAACTTGCCCATGGTCTCACAGCTGGTAAAATGGTCAAAGTAGGGGTCAAATACATGTCTGTGTGATTTCTGAGGTCTTGTTCTCAATATTGGGAATACGACTGCCTTGAGCTGTTGTAGCTAACTTTTCAACAGGAAAGGAAGATCTGCTAAACTCTTCTACGTGTTCTTCTGTCAGTCTAATTGGTTCCAAGTCCCCCCTCTCACTAACTGCCCTCAATGTTTTCCATGGCATAACTGCCACAGCAGGCCATAAAAACATGGAGCTTAATCACTACTTACAACTAAAAAGGATGAAAGTTAAAAGTTAAAAACAGTTCATATGAAAGTATTTGTTCAAAATAATTTTACCCCACAAGTCTGTTTTTTCAGTCATCAAATTTGCTTCATTTATGTACTTGTCTGTCATCTGCTGAATGTGCACTTGACCAGATGTGAATTTTTCCACTGTTGGCAACAGAGGTTTAAGAACATCGCAAGAATCCTGCCTTTGATAAATAACTTGTGATGGAGGAACTACAGAACTTAAAATAACTGTTTCCTCTTCTTTGCCAGGGGTAGATTCTTGTTCCCTATGGTCCACATGCTCTGAAAATGACTCTGAAAATTGAGTTTAATGAACATTTTAATGGCTGGGTACCTCCTTAGAGGTGAATTTTGGTAGAGAGGCATAACAATATATATTGACAAGGGATCGGTGAAACCAAGAAATCTGTTCAGATAGCTTCCCACTGAAAGGGGGAATGTGACGTCAGTGGATACTTCTGAAAGGGCTGTGGGGGATCCACAGCGCATCCTCAAGGGTCTGCAGGCCTGTGACTGCCACCATGTTTAGATTATTACAGTGTGCAATATTCTATCAGGCATGAAAACTTTACTTTTGAGATTTAAAGAAAAAAAATCTCCCAGCACAATGTCAAAAGAAATGTTTGCTCTTACCACTGTATTGTAACTGAACTGGTGCCGGTCTTTCAATTTATTTACAAATATTTTGACATTATTACCTGGATCTGTAAAGCTCAAATCTGTGTTTTCATAACTTAAGCTCCCAGTAGAAATAGTTATTGAAGATACTGGCTCATGATAAATCTCTTGTGTTTCAGCCTAAAAATTAAGGGGAACATTAGATCACAATGTTGGAAGTAATATCTAGAAAAAAAACCCAAATCACCAACATTAGCAGTTCCCAATTCTGAGCTCAGGTCAAGTGTAGAAACCTTCATGGTTATAAAGGTCAGCAGTAAAACCTTTTCATCATTGCTCAGAACTGATTAGCCTTTCATACACACGTTATCTCCCACCCCCGATTCTCATTCATCCCTTAGCAAGTCCTCAACTATCTGCCACCACCTTTACACACACACACACACACACACACACACACACACACACACACACGTCAACCATGATACTTATACATGATTCTGGTGACAAATATCAAGGTTCAATTAGCAATTGAACTACACTAAAAATGTGGGGTTTGTTTATTTGGGAGGATACATGGGATGGAAATGGGTGCTGCATTCAACACAGTGAAAACAATAGGATTTAGTCTTCCAAATTAATCAGATGTTGCAAATGAAGAGTATCCTTCTTTTCCTCANCTTACTGTTTATACGTTTGCTTCTCAGAACTAGAGAGATCATACATCAGGTAGACCGGAAGGCCTTCTGATGCTCAGATTTGGCTATTTTCATCATTGATCCACTTAAGTAAGAGCAGATCTCAGAGAACACACTTTAATATTTCACAACTTCTGTGAACTAAACAAAAGAATATAAAGCCAAATAGCTCTAACAATGTAGTGCACATTAAGGCATGACTAACCTTGTTTGGCTCCACAGCTGGACTCGGATATGTACGTCCTTCCTCCACAGTGTAACTTAATACTGCATGATTCTCAACCATAGCCTCCTTGACCTTGACTGAAATGGGGGGGAAAAGGTTTGGATTATGACATATTTAATTCTTGTCACCAGAGGGCATCATTTCCTGCTGTCCTACACATTTCTTTCATATTTTGCTTGTATAGTTGCCTTATCTTAGACCAAAAAGAAAAAAAAACAAACAGAAAAAAATCATTCATTTTATTATTCAAACATTTACTCGTCAGCACAATATACTTTTTTCCTGGAAAACTGCAGTTATTGTTATTCTATGAATAAAACTCTTTTAAAAAGAGCCAATGTGATGGGAAATATTTTGGTTATTTTAAGTGCAGAAGCAAGAATATTCGATCATAAATACAGTATGATCTCAAAGTTGAAAAAAATGCATATAACAAAGACAAAAAGAAAAACATAGTACAACCCATGGCTGCTATGAATGGTAGGGCAATGAGGAATTTTATGTCTATAGCTTTTAGTGTTTTCTAAAATCACAATGTGCATGAATTGCTTTTATTATGAATTACTTCTAATTATCTTTGAAATACTAAAATACATGTAAAATTATAGTTTTTGTCTCACTATTAATAATTCAAGTATTCTGAGTTAATTTTTCTCTTACTCCCAACAGTTAATATTTGTGAGAAAGCCGGCCAAGGCATATTGCTGTCTGTGGTTCTAAAATAGATTAAAATTAAAACAGCTCCACCAAGTATAAACTAAAGATTTGTCTCATTATCACCATATTATTAAAAGAGATCATGCACATTAGAAGTATGTTTCTTGGGCTGGCCGAGAGGCTCAGTTGGTTAAGAGCTCACTCAAGAGTTTGAGCTCTGAGCAACAGCAGTTCGATTCTGGGCCCAAGCTGAGCTGCCAACAGGTGGCAGGATGGCTCAGCTAAAAAAAAAAAAAAAGTATATTTAAGTGTTTGTGTAGGAAATTTTTTCTAAAAGATAACCCAGGACACAGACATAGACACACACACACACATATCTGTATGTGTGTGTTTATATATATATATATATATATATATATATATATTTGTAAAATAATATCTATATTATGTTATGGATAATGAAGATAAAGCTAATACCAACTATTATAGTAAAATACAATGTATTTTTAAATACAATTTTTTACTGTCTCCTAGTCTAGTTCATTTAAAAATATATTATTGTGACATAATTGATTTAACCATTAAACTGTTACTTGGTTGCTTCAATACACACTAGAATTTTAAGAAAATAAGAGATAGTGAAATTTTACAGTGAGTTGTTATTTTTTCTTAAACATCTCATTTCAAAAGCTAGTTGGGACATTAGAAGTTTATCTGAGGTTTTTAAATTCATACAATTATATACTGTTCTCTGTATATCACGCCAAGATGATTTCCCCCAGAGGAGAGATGAGTGAACAGGGTAACATTTCAGTAGTGGTAAAAAATGAAAAATAAAAATTGGAGAAAAGTGTAAAGTCAGAGTTATTTAAGATGTTGAAGAATTCAATAAATAGGTCCCCGAAAGTAGCTGGAACAGATATTCCTGTCACTGGTTTGGAATACAGTTCACTGATAGTAGGGACCCATTAGGAGGCTCCTAAAAAGGAGAAGTGACGTCATGAAAGCGGTGCCTTACCCAGAGCAATCTTCCCATGCTATTCAGGAAGGCAACATTTCCTGCTTTCCTACAAATGCAAGCAGTACCACCTAAAAGCTATTAAGAAATAAAGGCGAGATGATGAGGACCTCAATGAAGTGATGGGAGGGAAATGGAGGAGGAGGAAGAAAACTAAGATCCTCCCCTCTAAGATAAAAACAATACAAATCTGGGGATGATTACCAGAAGGACAAAAGCGGCCCCTGAGAGCCAGGCACTATCAGCTAGGCCTTGGTGTTCTCTTAAACATTAATGATTTCACAGAACACTAATAACAGAAAAGTCCACTCTGTGGATCAAGACAAAAAACAGACCACCCACACTCATCGCCGAATAGACAAAATCATGAATATTATCCAGACAACAAAAATGCCGGCGCATCTTCTTATCCTGGCCAATGTTGAGTGCCTGCTGCTGCTTTATCAGCTACAGCTTTAATTAGCCTCACTACCTTATTCCTACCTCCTGAATAAGAATTTTTTAGGTACCCCCAAATAGAATTACCCTGCTCCCTGATAACGTCTAATACTAATAAGCAAAGCCCTATTTCCTTGAATCCTCCTCAAAATCACCTAATACAAGAAAAATCTTACAGGTAAGTCCTTTCTACTACCCTCTTTATTGAGACACCTCATGGTTCCCTGTGGTGGCAATTCTCCTTACTGCAACAAGTCAAAACACCTAGCTTTGTTCAAGGACAGGTGTTTTCCTGGTAGTCTTTGGCTAGAAGATATCAACAGTAGAATAAAAAGGAAATACAAGTATCCATCAGCTAAAGCTAAAAGAATGATGTTACAGTTTTACTTTAAAACGTCAAAAATTATAATTCACTGGAAATTATATCCTTTGCAGTTATTTCAAGCTCCAATTAAAAAAAAAAGATGCTACAGTCAATTTTTCTATAAACTCTCAAAAAGAGAATAGGTCTCTCTCATCTCTCATTCTATTAAACTATAGATAAAACTAAGATAATCATTCAAGTATATGTGACAGCTAAAATGAAATCTGGTTAGAAAAGGTAACTACTTAAAAGGTCTTTAGAACTAGTAAAGCAATACTAGAACTATCCATTGTAGGGTAAATATATTATACTTGTAAAACAGCTTGTTAAATATATGCATAAATTCTAAGGCAAGAATAACAACACTGGTTGGTTTTGGGTGGCAGAATTAAGAGATTTAAAGTTTTTTCCTTATAACTGTCTTTAATTTCCAAATATTTAAAAGTAAACATGGGGGTGGCCAGTTGGCTCAGGTGGTTAGAGCGTGGGCTCATAACACCACGGTTGCCGGTTCGATCCCCACATAGGCCGCAGAGTTGTGCCCTCCACAACTAGATTGAAACAACTACTTGACTGGGAGCTGATGGGTCCTGGAAAAACACAGTGTTCCCCAATCAAGTTAAAAAAAAAAATCTGATTAAAAGTAAACATAATATTTAGAAAGCCACAGAGAGAATTTTTGAAAGATAAAATTTATAATATTTAATAGTATTTAATTAAATGTGAATTGTTATGAATAGGCTTAAACACGAAATTTATAGAGGTTGTCAACGTAAAAACCTCATACCGTCACATACTTCCTACTAGCATTTATTTAGTGAAACAGTTGCAAAGCAAAGTTAATTATTCTTTAAATAAACTTCAACTTTTTCTGTGCAGAAATAATACATGCTTCTTGTAAAAAAAAAAATCTATAATACGTGAACATACAAAATAGAAAGTGAAACCCAGTCTTCCAACAAAGGTAAGCCTGTACCAGCACTTTGGTGATTATCATCCAGACAATTTTCAAAGCATGAACAGATTCTCTCACCCTCATTTAACACTACACAGAACTGCACAGTATGGGTGGCACCATAATGATTCTATTCCCAACAGTCAACGAAGGTATTCAGCATTTTTCATTACAAGTAACACTACATTTAAAATCCTTTGTCCACATACCCTTGCTCACAGCAATTCCACTTTCAACATCTTTCTCTCTCACCTGCTTCATCAGAGTCATCACCACAGACATTCTGGGCAATCGGGAGGGGATGACCAAAAGGACCATGGTCCAGTGGGGTCCTAAGGAAACTTTGTTCTCGACTTATAGAAACCCTCAGGGGGTCTCTGTCTTGATAAAAATCTGGTTTACCTGATAGGGAAAAAAATTGACTCATTAGATTTCCACTTAGATTTCTAGCACTAGACAAAATTAAAATGGCAACTTAGATTATGGGGCAAAAATCTAAACTCTTAAAGATTTGACTTATATAGCAAGAAAATAACTACTTATCTTTCACAAGGCCTTTAAATTATTTTCCTAAGTGTTTAATGATATACCAACTTCTTTTTTTTTCTCCCCCCACCCCACCCCCAATATACCGACTTCTTAAAATCAGATAATGCTTCAGAATTGACTAATCACAGGAAAAATGCCTGGGGAATTTACTAACCATTAATACTATTAGAAGACATAACATGCATTCATAATATAAAATTCAAAAATAGCCATAGCTAATCTGTGGTATAAGAAAGCAACACAGGGGTTCACCCTGGGGAGAATGAGCGGATAGTAGCTGGGAGGGTACAGGGAAGAGTTTATGGAGTTCTCTAACATTCTACTTCTTGACCAGAGTGGTGAATGTTACACTTTGATTACTTGGGACAAATCCCTCCCATCCAGGGACATCCCTGGCATAGACTAAAGGTTTATTCTCTGGAGAAACTGAATGCGATACACTCTGAATTCAGGGGGATCAGGGACTGCAAGGTTCATTGGTTGAAGGAAGAGACAAAATGCCATTAAAAAAAAAAACGGGTATTAAAGTCTGCATTCTCAACCCAGATCCCCCAAGTCTGGCATCTGGCTGCACAACAGCAGCAGCCAGGTTTGTATCAAGCTTGGAGTAGCTTTGTGTAAGAAACTAAACTGTAAACTGCCTTAAAACACATTGAGGGTCCTCATGAAAAGCCACCTTTTCCAATGAAATCCAGCAATACATCAGGTCCCCACCTACAAAATTCCCAATTAGTCGTTCAGCGTCCCACTCCAACATGCAAGCTATTAGATAAAGTCTCTAAAATATCAGAAAAGCAACAAAAAAAGGAACAAGAGAACTCAGACAAACAGAAAATACAGGAACCCAAATAAACAAAAAACTATAAATATTCAAAGCAGGTAATAATTAGCAGGATGCTATGAAAAAGGAAAATAAATCAGAAAAAAGAGCAAGCTTTTAAAAACTACAATTTGAGAACTGGCCAAGTGACTCAGTTGGTTAAGAGTTGGCTTAAGAGCACGAGCTCTGAGCACCAGGGCTGCCGGTCTGATTTCCACATGGGCCAGTGATGCTGCACCAGAGCTGAGCTGTTGCTCAGCTGCCAACAGGTGGCAGGATGGCTCAGTTGGTGTAACAACAAGACTGCCTATTCGATGGTGGGCTACGCACACTCGCAACTAAGGCTGAACTTGGAACCTTGAGCTGAGCTGCTGCCCAGATGGCTCAGTGGATAGAGCATGCGCTCTTAACAACAAGGCTGCCGGGTTTGAATCCTGCATGCGGCTGTGCCCACTCGCAACTAAGACTGAACTCGGCACCTTGAGTTGAGCTGCCGCCCGGATGGCTCAGTGGATAGTGTGTGCACTCTTAAAAACAAAGCTGCTGGTTGGACTCCCGCATGGGATGGTGGCTACGCACACCCACAACTAAGATTGTAACACAGCACCTTGAGCTTAGAGGCCACGAGCTGCCGACGGGAAGCCAGGTGGCGACTGGCGCTCTCCACAACGAAGACTGAAGAACAACAACTTGGCTGGTCCCCTTCCCCAATTCCCCAACACTGTTCCCCTCCCTCAATTCCCCAATAAAATCTTTAAAAACAACAACAAAAAAGCCCAATTACTATTTGATAGTCAATATAAAAGTTCATAAAAACAAGTTAGAAGAAAAAGTTGAGGAAATTCTCCCAGAAAATAAAACCTAAAGAAAAAGAAATAAACTGTAGAAAAGAAAAGTGAAATATCAATATAGACCAATGTTTTTCAACATTACTTTTATTGTCACCCACCTAAGCCGCCTTTTTAGAGTTTTATTTTTTTTAATTACCTAACTCCATGAAATTTTAATAACTATAGATATGCTGTGTATCTTTCTATGTACATCTGTGCTGTGGTACATAAAAAGAGTTAAGACTTTTTCACCTCATCAAGAACCAATTTTCATCTCCTTTGGGGGCAACACTCTTATTAAAAATGCATGACATAGGTCATCTAACTTTCAACTAAAAGGTTTTCCACAAACAGAAAATGATGTGATCTCAAATTATTGGGTTGTCAGAAAAGTCATGACATATTTCTTCTATGTTTTTTGTTGCAAAAATGTGTCATGACTTTTCCGACAACCCAACATATTAGAGATACTTAACAGAAGTGTTAGTGTGGGAAGACGCATTCAAGAGAAGCTGTAAGCAAATGAAAAAGGAGACAATTTACGATAGGAAAAAAAGTTTTACAAACAGAAAGTATAATCATAGAATACTAATTGTGCCAGCAGTGAAAAATATTTATACATCAGTATAATGATAATTTAGCTTAATTTTTGCTAAAATCCATTGCCAACTACAGAGGTACACCAAGAAGAAACATTGAAAGACTTGAAAAGTGACTGCCTCTGTGAGTAGGAATAAGGGGTAAGGGGGTGGGTAGGGCAGGAAGAAATACTGTTTCATGTTATAACCTTTCAGCACTTTTTGCCTTTTAAACTATTTGGCTATAATATTTTAATTAAAAATATTACCCCAAATGGTATGATAAAGGCTATAATAAAAAGCTCCCAAACAGCACATGAGAGAGATAGTTGACAATTCAGGGAAAGTTTACCAGACAAGTGGCACTTAAGCCAACCCTAAAGGAAGGGCAAGGTCATGAAGGGCCTGGTAGGTGAAGGGGACTTAGCCTTAATTTGAACTTATTCCTTGAATCAAAGGGAAACCACTGAAGACTTTTAAACAGGGAAAAATAAAGGGAGACTGCTCTAAATATACCATGGGAAAATGAACTCGAGTAAAGCTAGAATGGAACCGGAGAGACACTGGGAGATGTAGCAGTCGATCATGAAAGAAAGGATGGCCTGAATTAAATGAGTGGTAATGGGAATGGAAAGAAGTGGACAGATTCCAGAGCTGACGAAGCAAAGCTGAGAAGAGCTGGTGACTTACGGGTGCTGGAGAGGTAGACAAGAGAGTGTCAAGGCTTGTATATGGGTACAAGTCACTAACAAAGAAGGCTGAAAGTTAAGCAGGTGGAGGTGAGGGAATAGAATAGTATGTAGCTTTCCCTTTTAGACAAGATGACATTTTGCAACCTCGGTCACAATTCATTAAATTATTTGAATCAATGCTGAGAATTTCCTAATGCTCATTTTGAATTAGGGAAAGTACCAATCAATTCCTGAAGTTGTGGTTTGCCAAATAGTGCAAAATAGGAAAAAAGCTTCTAAGGCCTAGTAATAAATAAAATCATTACTCTGTAAGTTCCGTAAGACACAGTAAGAAAGCAGAAAGGGGACTCATTCTTAACAATTACTCTCCACCTCTACCTTTCTTCTTTTTTAAAAAAAATTTGTTTATTGTTAGTTTCAGGTGTATTCCTTAATTCTGTTAATCAGAAACAAAGATATAATATTTTATGGCTGAAGACCAAAATAGCTAACATTAACATTACACTTCTACATATCTTTCCTATTGACAAAGTTAATTTCCCTCTTTAAAAAGGGTTTGCTTTGATAAGTTTGATCAAGAAAATTATTTGGTGAGTCTGAAATCTAAAAATAATTATGAAACTCAAATAGGGCTATTTACTAAGGATCTCAGGGAGGAATTTTTCTAGACAAGTGGATCTAGAAAGAAGTACAGTGAAGAAATAGACCTAATTGTCCCTAAAGCCAGGATTTTAAACATAATACTTACTATATAAAAGATACAGGACAAGAACAACGAAGGTACTGAAATAGAAGAGCAACAAGGGAAAAGAGAAAAAACTGAGTTATATCCTAAAGAGGCAGGTTTAAAAGGCAGAGTGATCAAAGGAAGCAGATAGAAGCAAGTGTCAGAATATGGGATATCAAAGAATTTTTGTCTACAGTAAACTGGTCTCCCCATATACAAGAAAAAACTAGTTACCTAATGCCACATTTCTTTAAGTCCAAATTTTATATATAATTTATGCAAGCCATTTTTTCCCTAAGTACTCAAAGACAAGTTTCTTCACCAATAACAAAAAAATTAGCATCCTGAAAAAAATGTAGAAAACTGGCAAACTATTAGGAAACCATATTTCATCAAACCATCTGTTTACCTAGTATAGAAGGTCTGCCACTTGCTGGTGAGTCCACCTCTTGTATAGCACTAAGTTCATGTTGGTTCAAGTCCAATCCACATTTAACTTTTGCTACCGGTGGCTTTGAGGCTCTCGAACCCAGTTCTTTGTTCAGATGCTCACCTATCAAGTCAATGATAAAGTCAGGCATGATAAAATCTATTAACATACTACAAACTTCTCTTCAACTATAATAACAAGTTGCAGGAAGTGAAAGCAAAGAATAATAAGTGGAATAATTATAACAAAATCGATTATCTTACCACTTATCTTACTACTATCTTCTGAAAGTAGCTGATTATCATTTGCAGGATCCTCTCTTGCTTGGTCTTGGAGATGAGGAAGCTGTTCCCTGAGCATCTGGGTCTTTAAATAATTTTCAAGTGTGGGCTTCCTTGTCTGAAATAGTAGACAGATGGGGGAGGGGGATGACACAGGATGAGGGGTCATGTAAAGCATTCTTTAGATTTTTATCTCCCTCTTAAATTAGAACCTCAACCAAATAAATAGTTCCATCAATCACACTATTACAACTTTATCCACAGGTATAAAATGAGAAATGCTTCTAATATAGGAAGGGTGATATATTTCCATTGGAAAGTACAACCACTCACAGCCTCCAACCTAAACACTTAGCCTCCATTGTACCTTTCAACATGAGGTCTTACTTGAGTATCCCCCCTGCCTTTCTTTTCCCATTACTTTTCCTTCAAATGACTGGTAAACCCCTAGAACTCAAGTTCTCATGAACTCAACTCAGGCTTCTCCTGAACAAAGGATTTCTAGAATTCTATTTAAGCTAATTTAGGAAATGGCTTTTTAAAGTAAAAGGGACACATTCATATTTAAGAGAATATACTCCTGTCTCCCATATATGAATGTCTAAGTGACCATGCCAGTCTTCTCAATAATTCAGTAACAAGCAGCAGGTCCAGCTGTCTGTCAGCCTAAAATCTTGCCAATTATACAATAGGTGTTAATGTTGGCACTTAAAGAAAGAGCTGGTACTGGTTTGGATTTATAAACCAATGTCAATGAAGTGCTATAGAAAGCACAAGGTCTGCTATTTGTATAAGAGAAATTCTGCTAACTGGTTACTTTACAATTTAATCTTCTCATGGAAAGCCAAAAGCCCTTTATAAAAAAACTTCAAATAACAATCTACATTTTTAAGAGTGTTTGCATTTGATTGTATCAAACTACTGACTGAGATTAGTTGGGCTTCAAATAACTGTTAACCTCATAAATACCAGGTGAAGTAGTTCAAGTTTTTGTTTTAATTTCCACATTGTTTAAGGTACAAAATTAAAGCAGTTAAGGTAAAACCACTTATTCTCAGTAACTAAGAATTTATTTAGGCCTAAGATGAAAACAAACAGCTTGTCTGAGTCAGGCCAACTCTATTACGTAATTCTTAGATACTCAAGTTTAATACATACCTGACTGTCTTTAAATAAATCCTTCCAAATCTCTTGGTGTTGCTGTATCTGCTGTTGCAGTGCTGTTTGTCTCTGTGCTAGCAGTTCCTCCTGGGCTTTTTGGCTATAATACAGGACTTCTTTTTGTAGATCCAATTGCTTCTGAAATCCCAAGTTATCTTGTTGAGCTAAGATAGGCTGTGAAAAACTCAAAAGTCTACCTTGAAATTTTGGGGTCACAGAATCACTTGAAGGAGCTATATGTTCATTCTTGAATGGATCCAGTTCACAAATGTCTTTAGATTTAACTTCAGCAAAAGGTAGTGGAATAAAGAAACGCTCTCTTTCCTTGGGTGGAATAAAGGGAATAGCGTGCTCAGAAGATTCACTTTCGATCAACTTAATTTTTTTGTTTAGAAGCAGTTCTTCCTGGACCTTCTCACTTGAATGTACCACTTCCCTTTGAAAGTCCAATTGTGCTGTCAGATGATCTTGCTGGGGCAGCTGTGATAAACTCAAAAGCCTATCCTGTGATTTGGTGATTTCAGGATGACTCGAGGGAACAGTATTGTTACTTCTTGTTGGGAAAGGTTTTTGGATTCTTTCAGGGTCAGCAACAGGCAGTGCTCCCTGGAATAAGGATGAAGAGGAGCTAGGTGGCTCAGACAATACCCTTTTCTCCAATTTATTTAGTCTTTGCAAAAGCGATTCTTCTTGGGCTTTCTGTCTAAATAGAATGGTTTTCCTTTGTATGTCTAACTGCTGTTGAAATACCTTCAAATCACCATGATGAGGTTGGATAAAATCCTCTGAAGATAACTTTTCCTCAAATTTATTTTGTCTGGGCAATGTATCTTGTTGAGGTAAAACAGGCTGTGATAAACCCAAAAGCCTATCAGGCAATCTTGGTACCTCAGAATGACTTGTGGGGGCCGTATTATCGCTCTTAGTTGGGAAAGGTTCTTGGATTCTATCCGATTCAGTAAGAGGTAATGAAGCAAATGAGTGCTGCACACTTAGGGGTAAGAAGGAAGAGGTGCCAACATGCTCGGGAGATATTCCTTCCTTCCACTCCCTCTGCTTATGTAACAGTAATTCTTCCCGAGCTTCTTGTCTAGATTGAACAATGGCTTCCCTCTGTGTAGCTAACTGTTCTTGAAGTGCATTCAAGTTATCTTGTCGAGGCTGGATAAGTTGTGATATCCTCAAAAGCCTATCCTGCAATTGTGGGATGTGAATACGGCTTGAAGGAATTTTACCATCACTCTCTGTTGAAAGAGGTTCCTGGGTTGTACCAGGTTCAGGAGAAGGTAAGGAAGTAAATGAAAGTGGTCCTAACCGGGGTATGAAGGAGGAGGAACCAGTTTGTTCAGAAGATATATTTCCTTGGGTTATTTGGCTACAATGAAGGGCCTCCTCCTCTGCAACTGGCCATTGCTGGTGTCCCTCCAAATTACCTTGTTGTGAAAATCTCAGCACTCTTTCCTGAAATCTTGGGCTCTTTGGATGGCTTACGAAAACTGTACTGTCGCTCTTGATTGACATCAATTCCTTGCATCTTTCAGATTCACCTTCCTGGGGTAGGGATAAAGAGATGCCCGTCTGTTCATAAACTCCTTTTTCTAATTCACTTTGTTGGTATACAAATTCCTGAGTTTCTTGTTTAGCACCACATATTACCCTCTGTATGTTAGACTGTTCTTGGAGTGTTGTCAAATTTTCTTGCTGCAGCAGGTTATGCTGTGGAAAACTGAGAGACTCATCCTGAAATGTTGGGATTATCAAGTGACTTGAGGGAACTGTACTCTCTTTCTCAGACAAATACAGGTTTTGAAATCTAGGCTCAGTTTTAGCATAAGCTTGCAAAGCAACTGAATGTTGAGCCACCACTGGTGGGAATGAACAACTCGTGTGCCCAGACTTACTGTCCGTCAAATCCCTCTGTTTATGTAAAAGTAATTCTGCCTGGGCTTCATGTCTAGCCTGAAGAGCATCCCTCTGTGCAGTCAGCTGCTCTTGCAGCAACTTCAAACTATTATGTAAAGGTAGGAACTGCTGTAGGAAACTCGAAGAGCCATCCTGAGATTTTGGGATTTCAGGTTGGCTTGAAAGAAGGCCTTCATCACTCTTTGATGAATACTGCTCCTGGATTTTTCCAGACTGAGTACCAGCAGAAATTAGTGAAGTAAATGCATGCTGAGTTACCTGAGGTGAAAGAGAAGGGGGCACAGTATGGTCAGACCATACTCTGTCATCCAGTTCACCCTGTTTATTCACACATAATACTTCCTGGGCTTCTCGCCTAGCCTGAAGGCTGTCCCTCTGAATATTTAATTGTTGAAGAAATTTAAAATTATCTTGCTGTGATAAGACAGGCTGTGAAAAACTCAGAAGCCTATCCTGAAGTTGGGGGACCTCAGGATGGCCCGAGGAAACTGCAGTATCATTCCTGGTTGGAGCAGATTCCCGGGTTCTCCCTGATTCAGCTTTGGCAGACGGCAGTGAAGTAAACAAATCCAGAGGTACCGATGGCAGGAATACAGAGACGCCAGTTTGTCTTTCCAATTCTTTCTGTTTGCACAAAAGCAACTGTTCCTGAGCTTCCTGTCTTAACTGAAGAACTTCTTTCTGTAGGTCTAACTGTTCTTGGAGAGCCTTTAGATGACCTTGCTGAGCTGTGATATTCTCTGAGGGTGGCAAAGACTTATCCTGCATTTGGCTGATTAGAGAATGGCTTACAGAAACTGCACTCTTGCTCATGGTTGAAAAGTGTTCCTGGATTTTTCCAGATTCAACTTTGGAAGGCAGAGAACTAAAAGGATGGTCAGCTACCAGTGGTAGGAATGAAGAAGGTTTGGCTAGCTTAGAAGATGTATTTTCATTGTTCTCTGACAATATTTGCTGGGAGCCTAAAATTTGAAAAGTTGTTGCCCTAGATGTTTCAGCGATTTCACTAGCATGCTGTAATATTAGTGGCCTGCCATCTGACAAAGTCCTTGAAAGTACAGGAGATTCTTTAGGGACCGGTTTACAGTCTCTCTGTTGTGTTTCAGTCTGTGAAAACTGCTTTGGCTGTTCTTGTGGTTCCAAACATTGCTTGGCTAAAACGTCTGTTTCTGTTATTTCAACCAGTCTTTGTGGAACGCGATTTTGTCTTGGAAGTTGAAAATAATCTTGTTCTAATTTGGGCATCTGGATGGGCTGCACAGGTAGGTATTTGTTAGGACTCAACATGGGTCTCTGACCTTGATCCCAATGGTCTGGTATAATGGTGGGCCTTTCAGATTTCTGTGGTGGAGCTGATATAATAGAATTCGGTATTAATGATGTAGCTGACGTGGATGGGTACTTCCCTTTTAATATAGTCTGATAGTCAAGTAATAGTTTCTTGGCTGTTTCAACAGATTGTCTGTGAAACCTACCAAACATAAACACAAAATCAAATATATTTTTTTGATTAAAAAAATGTTCCATATTCTCAAGGGTCTATACATTAAATTTAACAGCATTCTACGGTTAGCCATAATCATGGTGGAAAAGGAACAATGTTCACATTGCCCTCTGAGAAATCTATGTGCCCTAATTCTCAGGGAATCCCGATTAGATCTTCACATAGACAAAGTAATAAATTCTGAAGATGTAGCCACACACTATAACATATGAATTGTACCCAAGCTAATACCTGTTTTGCTGTAAAAGGTGATACTGATAGTTACGAATCATCCGCCTATGACTATCTTCATCAGTACTTATGGTGCATGATGCTGGAGCAGTGCCAACCTAAAAAAAGACAAATGCTACCAATTAAAAGACAACCAGAAACAAGTACTAAAGCATTTAATATGAATGAAGTTCTATAATTGTAAACTTCCATATAGCTTTATTTTTAATAAAAAAGACTGGCTCTTCCATTATAAAAAAATGAAGTAATATGCTATTCTCTTTTAGTGCCATATCCAAGAGCTCAACATACGCACTACATACAAATCATGGTCCCATGTACTGGCACCCTCTAGAAACTGAAAGATGAAAGCCATTATATAAACTTTTATATATATATATGTAGGAATGAAATTTCCCGCATCCTACCCCAGTCTGTTGAGTGTTTTGTCTTTTTGCTTCTTCTAGCTGAGCCCTGAAGCAATCAGTTTCTAATCTTAACTTCTGTTGTGCAATTTGTTCAAGTAATTCCAACTGTTTTTGCTTCTGCTCTTCTATTTCCATTATCTAAATAACAAAAAAACTATCAATCTATTAACAACAAACTCACACAAAAGAAAAGTTCATAGTATGCATTACATTGAAAACAAATAGGTCTTATCACCAAGAGTACTAATTATCCGAGAAGAAAGTGATGATGTTTAATCTCTGTTACACCGCTGCAAGAGGGAGGGAGAGTGACAGAAGTGAAAGGGGGGAAAGGAGAAAAAGTGAGAGAATTAAAAAAGAGGCAAAAGGAAAGAAAAAAATAAACACATTAACTATTTCTATTTCCTGGGAACACAGGGAAACCTTGATCATGACTGAAGACCCACTTCCAGAGAAGCAGCAAATAATGCTCAGCCAAATTCTGTGTTCACATCTTTAATTTTACATTGCTCTCAGTAAGAATAATTACTAAAGAAATTCAATAACAAAACCTCCATAAACAAATTGATTTCTTAGGCATACCCATAAAGGGGTGCAGTTATCTAGTAGCCAAATAATAATACAATGAGCAACACTCTGTATCTTTTCTGTCAGGTATGAAACAGATGGTCAGACAATGGCAGAGGGATGACACCTAAACTTTAATATTACATCAACACACACACAGTTCCAAGTAATAAGAACATATGTCAGGCTGACTAAGTTTCATGAGGACAGGGATTAGTCTGTCTGTTGCCTGCTAAATCCAGCACCTTGGACAGTTCCCGATACATACATGATACATACATATATACTGAATATGTAGAAAAAGAAATGTATGTGAAATTTCATTAAGAGGAACACTTTTACTAGAGGTAATGAAGAATGACCTGGTTTTCAAAATAAAAAATGCCTAAACCTGATACTTTACCTATTTCTAATCAGGCAATAGTTAATATTAATAATTAATCAGACTATAGTTTAGTTCCTATCTTCATCTTACTTTTCCTCATTAATAAAAGCCACTGAATTTAGACTGTTTGCTGTTTTGTAGTACCTCTACAATTGCGTTATCAATACAAAAGTCACTAGCTATATTGACTATTAAACTGAAATTAACTCAAATTAAATACAATTCAAAATTCAGTTCCTCAGTTGCACTAGTCATATTTCAAATATGCAACAGCCCATGTAGCGCTACCATACTGGACATAGATATGAAACGCTTCCATTACCACAGACAGTTCTACTGGAGAATACTGCTTTGGAATATTGGTTAGAAAACATTTATCTGAGAATACTGGCTCATAGAATTCCCACTCCCCAGATGTACTTTTATACAAGCTATAACTATAAACCGACTGGCTGAGTAATAATTAGCCTCTTTCAAGGTAATTTGTATTTAAAAATTATTTTATTAGATGGGACAAAAATTATAGTTGAAGAGGTTGAATTAAAAATTTTCTTCTGAAATACTATGTTTCAAAAAAACTTCTGGGATTACGAAGCCCAGATGAGTGTCCAATACTATGACAGGGACTCATTTATTCAACAACTATTTACTGGGCACTTCCTAGGTTTAAGGCATTCATTATGTCAGAAATTATGTAGAATTGAATTTTTTTAAAGAGTCTCCACCTTTAAAAAACTCATGAATTTTATAGGAAAGATAAAATACACACAAAAGTATAAAATACAAAGCAGAATGCCATAAGCGTCAAATGAGTAGTATAAGAGAAGATGAAGTAAGTGCCTTCTATCAGCTGCATGTGTAAAATAAAGTAGAAGAAATGGTATCAAACTAGCTGGACATTAAGACAAAGTTCACTGGTCAAATAAAATATAGAACCTAGGGGAAGAAACAAATCTTTAAAAATAGAAATTTCAAATTACCTGTTTCTGCCTTGCTGCCATTCTAATTCTGACTGCTTCTTCTTGAGGATGAAGTAGAACTGAACTCTGAGCCACAGCTGTGGTAGGCTGAGTCTCCTTTATTTCTACGAGAATCCCCCAAACAAAAATTAGTTTCAATAATTTAGAATTCTGACACCGCCAGGATATCCTTAATCCATTCATTATATGTAATTTTATTAGGAAAAAGATTTGAAGAATCAAAGTTTAATTTGAGGATGTCATAAAAAGAAATACCTTGTTCCTTTTCAGAGTCTACATCAAAAGAAAGTGGTTTATCTTCACTAGTAAGTGGCCCAGAGTCAACTGTTAGCATATCACTTTCAACTGTTAGCGTATCACTTTCAACTGTAACAGAAAATAAATATGAACATATTACCACTGTCAAGCTTACATCTGAACAAAGTAACAAAAACCTGCATTCAGAGTAACAATTCAATCTTGGTCCACCTGAATGTCTTATTTAACTAAGATCCTGTCACCTCCAGATGACCACATATTTTATACATTAAATTCGAGCCTGATATAAGACAGATGGAAGACTAAAATTGTGAAAAGGAAAAAATGAATAAGAACCCATTAAAAAGGCACACTGAAGGCCGGCTGAGTTGCGCGATGGTTAAGAACTGGCTTGGGACGCCAGAGGGCCCCGGTTCGGATCCCACATATGAGGGCCAGTGACACTGCCCTCCACAGCTAAGATGCTGAACAACAGCTCAACCTGGAGCTGGGATGCCGTGAGTCGACGGCGATGGCGTAGGCTGCGACCCCTGCTGCAGTGGGTTGCCATGGGCTACCGTATGTAGCCAGCAGCCAGCGTGAGCGGCCAGCAGCCGCAGTGAGCGGCCGTCCAGAAGCCGGCGACTAATGTGCCTCGCCCGGGAAGAGTGCAATGATGGTGCCAACTTGGGCCAGTGAAGCAACGTCATCCACAACTAGACTGAAGGACAAAAAAACGACAGCAACTTGTCTGTTCCCCTTCCCCCAATTCCCCAGCACTGTTCCCATCCCCCCAATTCCCCAATAAAAAATCTTTAAAAAAACAAACAAACAAAAAAAACAAGGGCACACTGACAGTTTAAACAATGGAAAAGCATCAGAGTAGGATAAGCAAGGCACCAGAGTTTAAAAAGAGAAGCTAAAGAAATTTAATTGTATCTCTGATATATATAGAAATTAGGATTATTATTTATGAAACCAGAGCAGAGAAGGAAGTTAAAGTAATCATATCAGGATAGCCAGAAATTGCATCAAGCATGCATGCATTCATTCACTCATTCATTCACACACTTACTCATTCAGCACCTATCTATGTGCTACATCCTGGGGATGCCATGGTAAATAGGGCCTCAAAGGGGTTTTACAGGGTGAGTGGGAGCAGAAACATTATATAATTATCCTAGAAAACAATTATAAAATGAGAGACTGTGAGAAGTACTATATAAGAGTAATAAAGGGTTGTGCAACAGAGTGTTACAGGGGAATTTGAATTAGACTAGGGACTCAGGTGAGATTTCTCTTAGAAGATGACACTTAAGCAGACACCTGAAAGGTAAGGAAGAAATAAGCCTGGTAAAGAATGCAGATATGGATAGGGGACCTTTCCAGACAGATCAGCAGGTATTAAGGCCCTGTGAGGATAGAAACAACTTGGCTCATTCAAGGAACTGAAAGAGGATCGATGCACATGGGTATAGTGAGACAAGGGGGTAAATGAAGCAACAGTAGACTGGGGAAGGCATACTCCTACAGGCCTTTTTCAAAATCACCTTTTTTTTGGCTATTCGTTTTAACTGCCTTTGCAATTTGCCCCTTTTCTCGCCATGTTCTAAATGCTAGAGTCCTGTAGGTGGTCTTATAAGCCTTCTTCTCACTGAATTCTTTCCCCTCAAAGACCTCTTCCATGCCCATGGCTTTAATGATCATATTTATGCCTGACTTCCAAACTTAGTTTTCTTGCGTTAAGCTATTCAATTAATTCAACAAATATTAACTGAGCATCTTTTATGTATAAGGCACTAGTCTAGGCTCTGGGGATATAGAGATGAACAAAACCAAGCTCCCACCCTCATGGATGTTATATTCCAGGATTGGAGGGTACTCAGGGTAGAGAGAGATAGGTATGAAGAAGCAAATAAAAAAGTAAATTTATGGTCCATCAAATGTTAAGAGCTATGGAGAAAAAGCAGGGTAAAGGGGATAGAAAGTGAAGGGTTTGGGGACGGGTAGGAGCTTGCCATTTTATATAGAGCAGTAAGAGAAGGCCTTATTAAGAAAGTGATATCTGAGCCAATATCTAAAGAAAATGAGAGAGTGAGCCATAAAAATATCCAAGTGCATTCTAGCCAAAAAGGCCAGCAACTGCAAAGACCATGGGAGTCATGTCTGCTGTGTTTGAGGAACAATGAGGAAGCCAGAGCCTCAGGTGTGGTAGAAAATGAAGTCAGAGCGAGAACGGGGATGAGACACGTGGTGGGGGAGGGTGCGTGTTGTGTAGAGATCACATAAGGCTCTGACGCCCGAGAGCACTTTTGGGTTTTACTGAATGAAATCGGCGGTTGTTGGAGAACTTCTCCCAGAGGAATGACATGAGCGGATGTATGTTTTAACAGGGTGTTTCTGGGAATAGGCTACAGCAGGAAGGTGCAAAACTGAAAACAGAAGACCACGTAGGAGGCTAATGCAAGAATCTACACTAGAGATTGAACATGGCTTAAACTAGGATGGGCCGGCAGTGAGAAATCATTGGACTTTAGATAATATTTTGAGGGTAGGACCAACAAGATTTGCTGATGGTTTGGATGTAGGATATAAAAGAGGGGAACCAGAATAACAAGGTTTTTGGTTTGAGCAAGAGAATTTTACTACCACTTACGCATATCGAAAGGTGGAAGATTATAGAAAAAGCAGGTGTAGGGTGGAAGGGGATATCAAGAATTCAGTTCTGGAAAACTTTTAAGTTGCAATCAGAGATACAAGGGAAGATGTCAAACAGACATTTAAAACAGTGGAGTTCAGGGCCGGCAGAGTGGCACGTTGGTTAAGAACTGGCTTGGGATGCCAGAGGGCCCCGGTTCAGATCCTACATATGAGGACCAGTGACACTGCCCTCTATAGCTAAGATGCTGAACAACAGCTCAACCTGGAGCTGGGCTGCTGTGAGTCGACGGCGATGGCGTAGGCTGCGACCCCTGCTGCAGTGGGTTTCCATTGGCTACCGTGTGTAGCCAGCAGCCAGCATGAGCGGCCGTCCAGAAGCCAGCGACTGATCTGCCTCACCCAGGAAGAGTGCAGTGATGGTGCCAACTTGGGCTAGTGAAGCAACGTCCTCCACAACTAGACTGAAGAACAAAATGACAGCAACTTGTCTACTCCCCTTCCCCCAATTCCCCAGCGCTGTTCCCATCTCCCAATTTCCCAATAAAAAAAAAATCTTAAAAAAAAAAAATTCTTTTTTATTAAAAAAAAAAAGAAAAAAGAGTGGAGTTCAAAGGAGAATCCAAGCCTAGAGAGACACCCTTGAAAATCATCAGTGTACAGATCATAAAGTATTGACATTAGAGATCAAAACTAGCAAGTGTTGATACAAAGATAAGAGATGTGAGAAACAAGCTCTGGGGGAAATGACCAGTGGTTGTAGAGATGAAGATAAGCAGCTGAGGAAACCCTGAAGGAGCCAGTGGTAGGATGCAGCAGGAGAGGGGTCAAGAGGTCAACTGAAGAAACTGTTTCCAGAAGGCTTTCTATTGTACTTTAAATCTAAAATCCAAACTACAAGTCACTTCTTTTAGAATCCTGGTAGCAAAACATTTCCATACAAATCCAGTCACATTCTTAAAACAATCCAGAAGATAAAACTCTAAGAATAAACACACAATACACAGTCCACTCCAAAGCTGTTAACATGTTCATCTCCTTCAGGAATTCTTTCAAGACTTGTTCCTAAGGAAATATGTCAAGCTGTGGGCAAAGACTTTGCTAAAAGAATGCTCACTGCAGCATAAGAAATAACAAGAAAACTTAGACCCAGCCTAAATGCATTAACAACAGGAAACTGGTTAATTTCGTTTCATCAATTACATTGGGATTAATATATATGAATACTCTACTACATTGAAAGTGGTCTGGAAGGAGATTCACTAAAGTTTTTAACATTTATTGCCTTTAAGTAGCAGCATTATGGGCTTTAAAACATCTTCTTGCTTTGGACCACTATCAGATTTTTCAGGAATGAGCATATTTTTTAATAACTTAGAGAGGGTTGACAGACTACAAAATGAGAAGTACCTTGCTCCTGCCCAGAAAATGTTCTCTCTTCGATAGTAGTTGTTTCTGATTCAACTGTTGGTGCTTTACTCTCGGTTTCAGTAACAGTCGTAATCATTTCACTGTCATCCTCAGACATGGATTTAATTGTCCAGAGAGATTTTTGGCTTCGGATCTTATTTAGTAATTTTTTAAAAAGAATTTTTGAAGGAAGCTGTTGAGTCTTCATTGCCAAGGGAACTAAAAGAAAAAAAAATTATTCAGCAACTATTATATATATATATATATACCAGGCAAATTATTCTATCTTTACACTGTTACCGATATACAACCACCCGTTAAAACAAAAGCACAACTTTATTTTCCTATTTATAATTTAACACTATATATGCTATTCAACCCCAATCACAACTTTATAACCAGAATTTTTCAACTTAAATTTAAATAAAGCCACCAAAATTCAACTATTTTCCAACAATATGCGTACAACACAAATTTCCAGCTTAAAAACTTATCAGGAACATGTTTATTCTACTTGCTAAATGATGTCAGAACGCATTACCTCTGAATTAATTTGTGGGTAAGATTAGCCTTCAAAATATGTGCTGTAAGGTTCTATACTCAATGCTAGAGAAGGGTCCCAAACATGGCTCTCTACTTCTTAATATACTACAAAGGAAAACAATACTAATTATAAACTAAAAGCAAATCAAGTGCTTCTAAATTATTCCCACCTATCATAAGGAGACCTCTACAGTTAAAAAAAAATTCTTCTTGTTTCCTCAAAACATTCTTCCATATGGTATAATGCCAAAACTCAGTACCGTACTAACAATTCTCTAAGGGGACAAAACTAGGTTGCAAATACATAGTTCTCTGACTTAATCAAGGAATAATATTTTTAAAATCTACAGAGGTTGAAAACTTGTAGGCTGGTTTTGTCTGACCCAAATTTTTCTTCAAACTTTCTGAGTTATAACCTACAAAAAATAAATTGCACAAAACTTAAGTACAGCTCAGTGAATTTTACATATATTGGGTCTTTGGAAAAGTCATGACGTGTTTTTTTTTTTTTTAAAGATTTTATTGGGGAAGTGGGGGAGGGGAACACCGTTGAGGAATCAGGGAAGGGGAACAGACAAGTTGCTGTCCTTTTGTTCTTCAGTCTAGTTGTGGAGGACGTCGCTTCACTGGCCCATGTTGGTATTATCATTGCACTCTTCCCGGGTGAGGCAAATCGGTCACCAGCGACTGGACGGCTGCTCACGGCAGCTCTTGGCAGCTTACGCTGGCTGCCAGCCACTCATGGTAGCTTACGGCAGCCCACTGTAGCTTCACTGCAGTCTACACCGTCGCTGGCGACTCACGGTAGCCCAGCTCCAGGTGAGCTGTTGTTCAGCATCTTAGTTGTAGAGGACGCAGAATCACTGGCCCTAATGTGGGATCCGAACCGGGGCCTTGCTGCTCAGAGCTGGCGCCCCAAGCCAACTCTTAACCACTTGGCCGGCCCATGATGTATTTTGTCTGTTTTTCAAAGGTCATTTATTTATATAAACAACAAAGATCAATCAATGATATATGGCCCATTTTGTTCGATAATTTTTGCCATCTTTCAGTGAGCTTCATAATTCCTGGTTCATAGAAGAACCTGTCTTTATTTGAAAAAAACTGAACAAGGTGCTCATTTACAGTCTCATCAGAATTGAACGTTATACCACGCAAGGAGTTTTTTTTTAGATTTTTTTTTTTATTGGGGAATTGGGGGAAGGGGAACAGACAAGTTGCTGTCCTTTTGTTCTTCAGTCTAGTGGAGGACGTTGCTTCACTGGCCCAAGTTGGCACCATCACTGCGCTCTTCCTGGGCGAGGCAGATCAGTCGCCGGCTTCTGGACGGCGGCTCACTGCACCTGCTGGCTGCTCATGCTGGCTGCTGGCTACACACGGTAGCCCATGGCAACCCACTGCAGCAGGGGCTGCAGCCTCGCTGTCGCCATCGCCCCTCTGGCGTCCCAAGCCAGCTCTTAACCAACACGCCACTCAGTCGGCCCTAGGAGTTTTGAAGAGAGCGAAACAAGTGGAAGTCTGATGGCACAAGATCAGGCAAGTATGGTGGGTGTGGCAACACATCCCATCCAAGCTCCAAAAATTTTTGACGGGTGATCAAACGTGTGTGGTCTCGCATTGTCACGATAGAACTCCTTTATAATTAACAAGCTCTAGACATTTCTGGATGATGGATTCATTCAAACTGTCCAACTGCCAACAGTACATATTCGAATTGACTGTTTGGTTCCTTGGTAGGAGCTTGAAAAACTCAACACGTTTAAATTCCCACCACACTGAGAGCATAACCCTCCTCTGATGAATGTCAGCTTTCGATGTCGTTTGAGGCGAATCATCACATTGGGACCAAGACCATTTGCGAACCACATTGTTGTAAACAATCACTTCCCATCACCAGTTATCAGTTGCTTCAAAAAAGGATCGTTTTCCTCTCATTTAATGAGCATATTGCAGATGTTTATACGCACCGTCAAATGAACTTCTTTGAGTTCATGCGGAACCCAAATATCAAGCTTGCTTACGTATCCCAGCTTCTTCAAGGGGTTGTGAACGCTTGAATGATGGATGTTCAATGTTTCTGCAATCTCTCGTGTCGTGTAAGGTGGGTTTGACTCGATCAATGGCTTTATTTTGTCATCATCAACCTCAGTGGGCCTCCTTGACCGAGGAGCGTCGTTGAGATAAAAATCACCAGCATGGAACTTCTTGAACCATCATTGGCACTGACGTGCTTGTAGAGCATTGTCACCGTAAACTTTATGAAACTTTTCACAAGCTTGACGCACGTTCTTCCCTTTATGGAAGTAAAACAGTAAAATATGGCAAAAATGCAAAGTTTGGTCTTCCATCTTCAACTTGTTACAAAATCTCCAAAACTCAACCAAATCACTCAATTTTTTTTTTAGACTGAAGCTAGAACTGTCAGCTGTCAAATGACATAGCAATAACATAGATGCAAATGACTCTAGCACTTCCAAAAATGAACTAGTGCTATGTGTTGCAAACATGGCTTTTCCCAAGACCCAATATATCTATGTAACACCATCCAAATCATCATGTGGAACATTTACTACACCTAGAAAACTCCTTCATGCCCCTTGCCAGTGAATACACCCCTAAAGATAACCACTATTCTAATCTCTATTCTAGACCAGGTTAGTTTTGCATGTTTTTTTCCTTTAACTTCATATAAATATGGAATTATACTTAAGTAGTCTTTTCTGCCTGGCTTCTTTCACTCGCCATTAGTCTGTGACTCACTCATTTTTAAGAAATAAATTAATTGCCAATAATTAAAAATAAGGATTTAAAAACAGATCCTTTTGCAAAATCAAGATAGTTGGCAACACCAACCCAGCAATCCCAAATGGGAGAGGCAGGAGCTGAAGAGTAACTGTCCCTTTAGATAAGGCAGGATTTATAACTGACAAACTAGAGATCTGAACGATATTCCCAATGAAACAACTAAAAAAGCTGGAAGAAATAGTAAAATACCTTCTTAAAGGCACTGCTGATCTGGCAAGAAAATAAGAGATTCTGCAGAGGCCAAAAATGAAGTTAAGTGAGAATTCTGGAAGGCAAGTGAGTCCTGAAACTATCTTCTGAAGTTTATGCCAAACCCCAATAACCTGACACTTTGTTTGGACAGGGAGTGGGCACAGGGGCAGGGATAAAGCCTAGAGCCCTCACCCAGGAAGTCTAATAGGAGACCCCCATAAAGTTGGAACCCCAAAAAGCTATGCATCCACAGTGTAGGGTGCATATGATTAAGAAAGCCTGAGTGGTTTTGAACAAAGGCAACATTAGTAGGTGTGGGGGTAAAAAGAGGTCAAAATGAAGAGGACTTGGTCTTTAAAGAGATGCAGAGTAAAAGAGAGGGAGGTGGTAGAGGTAACTTGCGCTGGGCTGGCTTGGATAACTGCAGACTGTGGTATCATTCACTAGGACGAGGAAGACAGGAAAATAAGGTGTCAGTAGGCAAGGGAGGATAACTATGTTAGACAATAAGTTTTAAGTACTTGTGCGACAGCCCAGTGAAAAAGTTCAGAATGTGAAGAGAGAAAGTTTAGAAGAGAGATCTAAGTTTGTGCTATTCATCATTATACATGAAGGGCCTAGCAGTAGTTAACACAATAGGATCTCTTAGGATCTCTGGTGATTTGATGGAAGTCTAAAAAATTGCTGACCTTGCACATGAATTCAGCATTAAATATCTAAACCAAATAACCTAAAAATCTTCAGTATATATATATATATATATATATATATATAAAGGAACTTTCCTCCTATGTATATGAAAAGGATCTTTAATAATGGAAATCTGAAAACATCGTTTCTTCCTTCTATCACTCCTATTAGTACGAGTCATTGTTTGCACTTAAATTAGACCCAACTTTTCTAACTGTTGGTGAATGATTAGCATTTTTATCTATAAAATAATGTTATACTCAGCTCAGAAGTTTTTACCGTTTGCTTCACTAAAACTCATTTTCGCTGGAAGGTTTTCAGTTTCGCCTAAATTTTCGTGCTCCAATGAAAGGTCCAGTTCTTCATCTTGGATCTGATCAGTCCCAGTGGGCAAAGGCTCTGGTTCAAGGTGCAAAATCAGGTTTCCTTTCACCTCTCAATAAAGAAATAGAGAGACATGTTTCCATTCCAAAATGACTAAAAAGAACTTGAGCATAAAAATTTAAAGGCCATCATAGTCTCTAAGTCTAAAATAAAGGTCCTCTTTCAAATAGAAAATCCATTTCAAAATAAAAATTGCTTCATAATACAAATATATTTTCCCACCAAAACATTTAAAATAATTATTGAAAGTGAACTGAAAATATCTTACTATTGTCTGCATTGTACATGTCTTCGAAGGCAAATTCTAGTTCTCTCTGCCAATCTTCTTTCATTTCATTACGTTTGTATGGAAGTTCGAGTAGTTGTGGTGGCATTCTTGCTACAGTCTGTCTCCTACGTGCCAGGTCCTCTTGTTGTAGCTGTTTGAGTTCTTTCATTAGTTTCTCTTGATTCTTCAAGAATAAAGAGAATTAATTAACAAAAGCTGAGTCACAAATTTTGAATAGTAACATTGATAGTGAGGGAAAAGTGGAGAAATGCTGAGGAAACAAGGCCTCGGGTTCCCTTCCCTCCTCTACCATTTGTTCTGCCACAGAAGTATATTAATTAATTTATTCATTCAAAAAATAATATTTACTGAATGCCAGACACCATGATAGATGCTAAAGACATAATCTCACCCATAGCCTCCAGACTAACAAACAGGTAATTAGTATTCTATTAGTAAGCGCTGTAAGATGGTGGTACTGATTAGGCCACAAAGCTTCAAAAGTATCTGCCACTTACAGTTCTTTCTCAGGATAGTCATGAAGTTATGTTCTATGTAAGTTGCCATGGCTTCTGCAATGTATTTTGTGCCAGTTCTCCTCAGAGCCAGCAGCATATACCAGTCTCAGGTAGGCACCAAGAGCTAGAGTGACTGTGGCTTAACAGATGATACTTCTTATTACTTCACACTCTTAGAAATCACCACTACTAAAGAGGGTTTGTAAGTATCTCATCTCTTTTAGCTTAGAGTCCGGCTAATATGGAAGTTTAAGCACATGTTTTAATGAGGTTATCCAACCGAATTTTGGTGGTGGAGGACAGGGAAGGGGCATAAGGAAAGAGCTCTCATCCCTTGGCATGAGGATTTAGCCAGATAAAAGTGAAAAATAACAAATGAAGCACAAAGGTATGGAGGTGAAGGCATGGGGTGTTCAGAGAAAGAACGCTGTTCATTATAGATAGGGCATAGAAGGCAAAGGTAGCTAAGGAAAAAAGATAAAGAGGCAGATAGAGGCCAAACAGTTACAATAGACATTAGCAGGAAATAAGATCCCAGGGCACAATGGGGTCTATAGCAAAAAAGTTCAGAGAGGGGGAAAAAATGCTCTAACAGTAGTAAGATTCCATGGTTTTGACACTAATTTTGTGTAAGAGACACGAAGTCTAGAAAGAGGTGGAGAGCCTGTATAATAGAGTGTTTGTCAGGTGATAACATATACACACACTACTCATTCTTATGTAAAGTTTTAAATATTTTGTCATTTGAAGATAAACTTTTTTTGCCATGCCCTGAAAAAGTATCAAATTATGAACAAATTTATTTCATTTATATTAAGATTCAAATCATCCCATTAAATTCTCTAAAATCGTAGCAGGTTTTTCTACTTGAATTACTTATAATAACAACTACCACTACCACTGAGCTTATAAAATTCAAGGCACAATTCTAGGGGCTTTACTAAGCTCATTTAATCCTCGCAAAACAGATGATGAAAAAGAGTTCAGAGAGGTTATGTAACCTGCCTGAAACCAAGCAGCAAAGCAGTGAAGAAGGGAGAAAAATTTAGGCAGACTGTGGAGTCTACTTTCTTAACCATTGAAAACTATTGATTTGTGGAAGAATGTGATCAGTTTATGATGCTTTCACATTTTTTTTCTATAGGTTTAAAACTTAGATGAGAACTACTGGTAATAATTCAGACATTCAGTTATTTTAGTCATAATTTACTCACAGTTTATAAAAGCTAAAAATTTACGAAAGAAGGTCATAATTCAGTTCAAACTATATAAGACAGTTTAAAAAGATAGGCATTTAATTCCTATCCAGAAGTACTTAAAAACTCATTCCTGAGTGTTTAAAACACCCAAATAAATTAGTCAAATACAGAACATAAAATCAGACTCCTAAAAAGGTGAATCATTTTTATGCTGTTTCAAGAATAAACACTCCAGGGGCCGGCCGAGTGGCACATTGGTTAAGAGCTGGATTGGGACGCCAGAGGATCCTGGTTCGGATCCCACATATGAGGGCCAGTGACACTGCCCTCTACAGCTAAGATGCTGAACAACAGCTCACCTTGGAGCTGGGCTGCCATGAGTCGCCAGTGATGGCGTAGGCTGCAACCACTGCTACAATGGGTTGCCATGGGCTACCGTGTGTAGCAAGCAGCCAGCGTGAGCGGCCAGCAGCCGCAGTGAGTGGCCGTCCAGAAGCCGGCAACTGATCTGCCTTGCCCGGGAAGAGCGCAATGATGGTGCCAACTTGGGCCAGTGAAGCAACGTCCTCCTCAACTAGACTGAAGAACAAAAGGACAGTGACTTGTCTATTCCTCTTCCCCCAATTCCCCAGCACTGTTCCCATCCCCCAATTCCCCAATAAAAATCTTTAAAAAAGAATAAACACTCCCTGAATAGGCATGACAGAAGTGAAGCAAAAATGATAAAGCCAGTTTTCATTGTATGTATTTTGCAACTCTGAAACAGTCGCTTTTTCAAAGCTCCTTGACAGCAAGGACCATGCCTCTGCCTTTGAATCAATTCTCTACAAAGCCATCAAGTGCTTTGCTCAATAAATATTTAATGAATTGAATCCTAAAATTTGCAGATCAGAAATGCAATTCAAATAATTAGAAAAGTGATTAATTTCTTCTCATGTTATTTTTGAACTGATTAAAATATTAAACTTTTAATAAATTCATCTAGTCAAAGTTTTAGAATAGCAATATACTTTAAGTGAGAACAGCTAAGCCCAAGCTGAATTTGAAACATGAGGTAAAAGAAAGTCAGGGAACTTGAAATCATGACTCAGATTATATTTTCACATTCTTCATACTTCCATAGTGTGAGCACATTCACTAATCAGTTCCGCAGTGCTATCCATAAATCTATCAGTAGTGGTCACAGCCAGAATTTAACTTACTTGAGCCAAATGAATCTTTTTCATTGCTTGGAAACCCCGTACATGTGCCTTTTCATTCCGTTCCATTCTCTCTTTTGCTGCTTGCTTTTGTAGTTCTTCCAATCTTTTAGCTTCTTCCTCAGCAGCCAAATGAGGATCTGGCTAGCAGTCAATCAATAATATTTTAGACAATTTAAAAGTGTGAAACAAAACGATAACTACAAAATAACTTTAAGACCACATTTTTCTACTTATCTAAAATTAAACTATAATGAGAGTTGTATTTTTAAGTGCCCACCATTATCATCAGAATGTATCTATGAAAAAGATCAAATTGCTGGTGTAGTTTTACAATTTCATTTCAAACCAAATTATGCTATACTCATCCAAATGCATTCCTCCATCATTTTTTGTTAATAGAGAAATTCTATTAAAATTGACAATGTTGAAAGGTAAACACCCACAAAGCTAGCAGTTAAGAAACCAAACATCAAAGGTCATGTAAGTAATTTAGAGAAGCACTGAGATTTGTCTTTGGTTTTAAGCAAATATCTGCTGCTTGGCTTTAGCCTCAGGAAGGCCAAATCTCCAAAACACCTACTTTAATATAATTTCTAGTTTCTTAGAACTTGTGCATAACCAATAATTATGTGATTGTACAGTCAGTCATCAAATCTCATTAAAATAATAGTAACACCAAAGGCGGAGGGAGGCACATAACCTGGATTTACTATTATATCTAAACATTCACTTTCAAATATAGGTAAACACTGAAAATGTAACTCTAAGTAAAAATCTTATGTATTTTATATGTTGAAATCTATTGGTCAGGGGGCCGGCCGAGTGGTG